TTCGTTTGAAACAAAAACATATTTAGATTAAATACAAGTTTTCGACTATCGGATGTTTTCTCGCATTTTTTAGACCCTAGTTCTTAGACTAATTACAACCTCGTATAGTCAATTCCAGTCCTAATCAAAAGTTCATAATTAAAAATATCATTTGAATCGTTCTATTTTGTTTCACAGTTGAACTTTGTGAGTTGAAGTTTCGTGTATACGTCTTGAAAGACATGTAGCCAAGTGGAAAGGAGAAAAAAAAAAATTCTTTTTTTCTCTCTTTTTCGTTAGTGCACTCTTCCGTGCCCCCCGCGTGTGTATATACTGAAAGGCACGCACGACCGCGAGTTTTCTGGCAAGCCATATACATATGAAGGTGGTTGTGTGTACATGAATCTTTTACGCATACCGAGCTGAAGATCTTGTGTCTCGCGCGCTCTTCACGGCGCGCGTGCCGTTGAAAAGACCCCCCCTCCCCTCTCTTCCCCCTTGCCTCACTTTGCCCCTAACCGATCTCACTCGACGGCTTCGGCCTTCCGCGCCGCTTGGCTCGAGTTCCCTCAAATCTCCCTTTGCCCCCCCCCCTCTCTCTCTCTCTCTCTCTGCCACCGACGGACGCCGCCCTGAAGGCTCATCGCCTCTGCGACCCAAGCGGCACGGTCTTCACCCAACTCCCTCTTGCCTTCTCTCGCCCACCCTCGTCGTCGCACGACCGTTGCGACAGCGAGCTCGGCTTCACTATCACGCTCTCATACCTACATCTCAACACTCGCATACATACGACCACACGGTCATGCACGGACTGCCGCCTTCGTGGCTCGTCGCTTTTTCGCGGCGAGACATAGACGGATCCATTGGCGTACTTTCAAATTCCGTTCAATTTATTTTTTTCCCCCTTTTTTTTTTTGCGAACTAAAAGTTTCTTTTTTCGATACTTTTGTGTTTTCTATACGCGCAACTGTATATATGGTTTTCAAAAATGATCATTATTTCGCATGAAAATTTCGGATATAGATTTTAGGATTTACTGTAGAAATAGTAAAAGTTACTTTACTGTAATTTTTACTACTGAACTGTCCGTAGTTTCTGCGCACTTTTGACAAATTTTTATTCCAGAAATAGTAAAATTTACTGTATCCGAAATAATCTTTACTATTTCAGAAGTAAATTTTACAGAAATGCGCAAAAACTATACGGATAGTTCAGGTTTTACTTTTAAAGTATAGTAAAAGTTATACTATATTCGTTTTTCCATTTTCCGATGACAATTTTGAATATTAAACACTGTGGAAATTGACCGTCTTAAAAGTGGAAAAAACGTTTTTAACACACATTTACATAAGACGCGGATACGTTTTAAAACAAGACGGTATACGCACTTTTAACACGGACAGTTTTTGCAGTAAAACGAACTTCTATGCGACAACACTCGAAAAAAAGTACAACTTTTACCCCAAATTCGATATAAAAATTAAGTGCAACAAATTTTATCCTAGTTGAGAGAGCCACTCTCTAAATTTGAATCAGCGGAATCTAGCTGATTCTCAGCTATAACTATATCACTGATTCCAATCAGTTTATATGCACTGATGAATTAGTGGAATTTTACTGATTTTTCAACGTATATCCGCTGATTGGTACCAGTGCTGCCGTACGATGTAAAAACTTAGGTAACCGACATTGTCGCTTAGGCTGATTGCCTGTTTATTACTATACTGAAATCAGCCTAAGCGACAATGTCGGTTACCTAAGTTTTTACAGCGTACGGCAGAGTGGTATACTTATCGCTGATTCAAATTTAGAGAGCATCATCTAAATGTGAATTAGCATTGATTAAAATTACCCGCAACAAAATTTATCCAGTGTTTTTTCTGTGTAAAAGTATATTTGCAAATTACAAGGAAATTATCATAAACCACAGAAATTATCTGATAGTAATCAGAAAAAGATATATATTTATACCTATTTGGCTTTTGTCGAGTGTCGACTTATATATATGTGTGTTTGATAAAAAAGTCAGCTTCGGTTTGCAAATATCTGCACGGGGAGTCTTTTCCCGCTATGTCAACTTGATGAGATTCTAATCCACCCCATGGCACGTGCGGTATTAACCAATTTATCTGTATAACAAAGAGGTACCTAGAGAGCAAAACATTGTAATTCATTACGAGTATATATACATCAAAGAAGAGCCCTATATGTCCTGATTTTTTTTTTTTTTTTTTTTGATGACCCATTGATGCCCCATGTGTTATATTTCTCTCATTCAAAAGACATCCATTTGTATATTAATCTCACCAAATGTGCGTGTAATAATTTGAGTACTGTGCGTATGTGATATATTCTTTCTCTAAAGCCGAAATAATAAAAGTATAAATAAGTTTTGTCTTGCTAAAAACTACATTATCTACTTAAGTCTCTGACCAAACTAACTTTCTCTACTTAAAAATAGGAATGTCTTGACAATATATTCTTTTTCTACTTGAAAATTATGTCTTGCCGATATAACTATACTTATATTTAAAACGAAAAACTGTATAACTGCTTTTTCTACTTAGAAACTGTGTAAATTTTTAAAATGAGTTTTGTCTGGCTGAAGTGTCTTTTTTTACTTAAAAGTCAGTCAGAGTTGCAAGCGTATAGAGGCTTAAAGGATTTCGTGGCTGATTTATTAATATTAATTACGAACTATAATCACAGTAACCGTTGGTATAGTACCTGTTGTTATCGTAACCGTTGTTATAATGCCCGTTTTTTGGTAACTATTGCTATGGTAACTATAGGAATAGTTACTACAGGAACGGTTACTATGTTAAACATTACGCTGGAAACTTTCCTATAGGAATCGTTACTATAAGAACCGTTACTACAGGAACCGTTGCTATAGTAACTATTTTATAGTTACCGTTGCTGTCGGAACCCTTTCTATAGTAACTGTTGCTATAATAACTATTATGTGGTAACTGTTGCTATGGGAACCATTACTACAGAAACCTTTGCTACGGTAACCATTACAATAGGAACCGTTGCTATAGGAATCGTTACTATAGGAACCGTTACTACAGGAACCTTTGCTATAGGAACCGTTTCTATAGTAACTTTTGCTTTAGTAACTGTTGCTACAGTAACTATTCTATAGTAGTCGTTGCTATAGGAACCGTTGCTATAAGAATCGTTACTATAGGAACCGTTACTACAGGAACCATTGCTATAGGAACCGTTGCTATAGGAACCGTTGCTATAGGAACCGTTTCTATATAGTAACTTTTGCTTTAGTAACTGTTGCTACAGTAACTATTCTATAGTAGTCGTTGCTATAGGAACCGTTGCTATAAGAATCGTTACTATAGGAACCGTTACTACAGGAACCATTGCTATAGGAACCGTTGCTATAGGAACCGTTGCTATAGGAACCGTTTCTATAGTAACTTTTGCTTTAGTAACTGTTGCTACAGTAACTATTCTATAGTAGTCGTTGCTATAGGAACCGTTGCTATAAGAATCGTTACTATAGGAACCGTTACTACAGGAACCATTGCTATAGGAACCGTTGCTATAGGAACCGTTTCTATAGTAACTTTTGCTTTAGTAACTGTTGCTACAGTAACTATTCTATAGTAGTCGTTGCTATAGGAACCGTTGCTATAAGAATCGTTACTATAGGAACCGTTACTACAGGAACCGTTGCTATAGGAACCGTTGCTATAGGAACCGTTTCTATAGTAACTTTTGCTTTAGTAACTGTTGCTACAGTAACTATTCTATAGTAATCGTTGCTATAGGAACCGTTGCTATAAGAATCGTTACTATAGGAACCGTTACTACAGGAACCGTTGCTATAGGAACCGTTGCTATAGGAACCGTTTCTATAGTAACTTTTGCTTTAGTAACTGTTGCTACAGTAACTATTCTATAGTAATCGTTGCTATAGGAACCGTTGCTATAAGAATCGTTGCTATAGGAACCGTTGCTATGGTAACCTTTACTATAGGAATCGTTACTACAGGAACCGTTGCTATAGGAACCGTCGTTACTATAGTAACTTTTGCTCTAGTAACTGTTGCTACAGTAACTATTCAATAGTAGTCGTATTGCTATAGGAACCGTTGCTATGGTAACCATTACTGTAGGAACCGTTGCTATAGGAAAGTTTCTATAGTAACTGTTGCTATAGTAACTATTTTATAGCTGCTGTTGCTATAGGAACCGTTACTACAGGAACCGTTGTTTTTTGGTAACCACTTCTATATAGTAACCGTTGCTACAGTAACTATCCTATATATAGTAATCGTTGCTATGGTAACCATTACTACAGGAATTGTTTCTATGGTAGCTATTGTTACTGGAACTTTTGCTATAGTAATTATTCTATAGTAACCCATGCTATAGTAAAAGAACTATGGTGTACGACGGATAGACAATCGGAATTGCTTTTTCTACTTAACGAAATAATTTTATAACAATTTGAAGAAATCAACGCCTGTTTGTATAGTACATAATCACACTGAGCATAAGGTATATAATCGAATGCTTCCAGATCCGCGTTAAATTCTCGCTTCTCTGATTTTTTTTCTTTAAATAGTAAAATGAAATAATGAATCTTCATGACAAGATCAAAATAAATTTAATGATTAAAATTTTTAATTGACAAATTTCAAAAACGCAATACAATAATTTAATATTCAAATGCAATACGTTGAAATTATTATTATTATTAACTTGGAAAATTGTTGAGTGACATTTTTGAGAATATGAAAATTATTTAAATAGTTAAAGATTTGACACATTGACCCCATTACGCCCAACAAGCGCAAAGTCGGGAAGAGTTTTAAAGTTTACCGACACTAATGCTTACGCCACTGTCAGATATGCCCGTAGGCAAGGGCGCGCGTGAGCGAGCGAGCGAGCCGACTATAGTTCCCCCCCAGGGGACTCCCAACCATGCTCAAACCATCGCGCGTGATCGCTGCCCTCCTCTCTCTCTCTTTCTCTCTCTCTCTCTCTATCTCTCTTTCTCGTTTGCTGCCACCTCTGGTCGCCCCCTCGTATTGCCACCCTCTCCCACACGTCAGCCGGCACACTGAAGAGCCAATCGCACCCTCACACAGTCCGTCGACGTTGCTCTTCGTGTGAACATCACGCGAAATTCGCACTTTGCGATTTATCATTCAAAATAAAAATAACATTTAAAAGAAAAAACATCTTTCTAAATTTTTCAAGTGTCTAAAAGTACATTTTATTCCCTCTTTTTTGAGAGAAAAAAAAAATTTTTTTTTTTTTGAAATAAAAGAGTGAGAAGAAAAGAATTAAAAAAAAACAAATTTTTTGTTTTTGTTTCGAGAATAGAGAATAGTTTTTGTGATTATCACACACACACATATATATATATATTCTATGGTGCGTCAATTCGTAACAGTGTGTGAATCACGCGAGTAACAAGTTGTTAGAACACGTGTTGACTGGACTTGGATATCGTGTGTTTTGAAGGACATCATATATACATACAATCTGACGACTTGGATTTTACGTGTGTGTCACGTGTGTTTTGTTAGAAACGTTCTTCCCGCGTTCCCACGGTGAATAGTGCGAGTGCGACACTGACAAGTGGTCGAGAGCGATTCAAACCATGTGGCGGCGCTCACTACAACTTGATGGAGAGGGGTTGAAACTTTTGTAAAACTTTCTTTTAACCACGAGAATATATATTTTCCCAATTTCTTTTCCCCAAAAAAAAAAAGAAAGATTTATTGTAACATTTTTCTAAACGTGACATTGTTACAAAAAAAAAAATACTATTCGTCAACAAAAACTAACTAACTTTTTGGTGAAAATATTGTGAATTTGTGAATTATAAAAGAAGAAGACAATATTTGAAGACAGTAAATATTGAGGTGAATTTAAGTGATTTGGAGAAGAGTTGGAAAGTGAGATTGAAAAAAATTTTAAGGGCGCATTTACGCAATGATAAGTGTCTCAGTATTGCAAATTCGACGGGTGAAGAGAACAACATTAAAAAGGGCCGAGAGGTCCTGCTAAAATGACTGCGCGTCTCCACTCGCTGAGGCATCAGGAGAAGAAATCTGCTAGCAACAGTAACCAAAGACAGCATCTTCAACAACAACAACAACAGCATCAAGAGATTGCGATACCGGGACCCAGTCCAACGCCAAGTCCAAGCCCGAGTCCTAAACATTCTGACGGAAGAAGAGTAAGTATCTTTATTTTTGTCAATTTTTATCAGATATTAAAAATAATACAAGAAAGTATGGTAAAGTTTATCATACCATTTTTTTCCTATGACGTTCCTCTTTTTTATTTCTTTCCTATTGCAGAAAAAGAGTAATTGACAAATTTTGCATTACCGTGTTTGGCAATGATTCGAATAACAGTATAGTAAAATTTACAAGATAGTATGGAAAAATTAAACATACAGTATGATAAAATTTACCATACAGAATATTACATTATAATAATATTTACATAACAGTTTGATTATCATAAATTTTACATTACCGTGTATGGCAATGATTCGAATAACAGTATAGCAAAGTGTACAAGACAGTATGATAAAATTTACCATACAAAATATTACATTATGGTAATATTTACATAATAGTTTGATAAAAATTTACATGCCACTCTTTAAATCTAAATTAGCCACTTTTGACTAATTCGCCGATTCGTTCTTTAAAGGAATTAGTAACTAATTTTTAGTAAAAAAATAACTAATTGATAGTAGAAAACTAATTTATTTAGTAAGGCTACTATTTTAATTAGTAAATTTTAATAAATTTAGTAATTTTCTACTAACAGTTAGTCGCACTTTTGATCAAGAATTAGTAATTTTTAACTATGAATTAGTAATAATTTTACTAAAAATCAGTCAAAACGGTTACTACTCTCTAAATCTGAATTAGTAAAAATATTTACTAATTTGAATTAGTGACTCACTTTTTGCTTCTGAATTAGTAAAATTTTACTAATTATTAGTAACTTTTACTAAAAAATTAGTAAAATTTAACTAATTCTAAAGCAAAAAGTGAGTCACTAATTTAAATTAGTAAATATTTTTACTAATTCAGATTTAGAGAGTAATTCATAACGAATTAGTCAAAAGTTTAGATTTAGAGAATAGTATAGGAATGTTCACTTAACGGCATGGTAAAATTTACTATTTACAAACAATTAATAATATAAGAGAAATTAGCACAAAAAATATGTAAATATTGTTATAATTTTGATGAGTTTAATTTATATTTGTAAAAGAATGCTATTTTTTTTATGAAATTTCTCAAACACAATATATTTTCTTTTAAAAAATTTTAGTATATAATCAACATTGCAATATTTGCAACTAAGAACATTAAAATAATGACCTATGGATTTTTTTTGTGTTACGAGAAATTTCAAAAAAAAAAAAAAAAAAAAAAATGGCATTGAATTACGAACTTTGTGGTACATGTTTCAACACCTAATTTGTATCCTCTTCAAATGTCTCTAAACTGCGTTGAAGATACGTGACTCTCGAATAAGACTCTCATTTTCATCCTTGACATAAGTTTTGTTGAGTAACAGACCTTTGAGATTGTAGTTTGGTGCACTTAGAGAGACTATGTTTTCACATTCTCCTTACTCTTCTCTCCCTAAGCGCCGCTCTGCTTAAAATGAATGATATAACCTTGGATGTGTGTTTGAGTGTACACGTATATATATATGTATTGAAGGAGTGAGAAAGAAGAGGCACCTTTCTTTCATTACACCATAAATACTTCCTACACATTAAGCCACTTCTCTCCGCGGTTTAATACATATATATATATATATATATATATATATATATATATATTTACATGTAAAAAAGCGCTCTAAAAACATAGTCTTTCTAAGAGACCACGTGCTTATCATAACAATAATATTACATGTAAACCATTTTTGATAAGAATTTTTCACTAAATATTTCTTGAAAAATGATATTTCTATTTTTATGCCGTATTTCAAAAGTTTCGACATTCAACTTTAAATTTCTAAATTTGAAGAAAGGGTTTCTAATCATGCAACCAATTTTTGCAACGTTTACCTTAAAATCGTTGACTTAACCTTTTTCTTTCTTTAAAAAACTATATAGAATATTCCGCAGATGTATAATTTTATTTAAGAAGAACTTCACTTTATTCAAAATGCCTAAAGTTCAAAAGAAAAGGAGCAGAAAAGGTTTTCTATTCCTGACCTCATAAAATACAGTTTTTTTATATTGTTTAAAAATTTTTCTATTTTATTTTTAAAGAATTTTTTTTTCATATATTCTATTTTTTTTATTTATTTTTTTAATTCTATATTTTTTTTTATTTCTTTCTTCTTTTATTTTTATTATTCTTTAGGATTTCCTTGGAATTGTTTTTTAAAACTTAATTTTGCATACACCAGTTTATTAATAATTAATTACCTTTTAAATAATGTATAAAATTTGAAAGTTTATAATGAAAAGAAAAATATAATTATAATAATATAAATATTAAGAAAAAATGAATGATAATAAATAATTTTATTATTTTATTTTTAATTTTATTTTAATAATAATAATAATAATAATAATAATAATAAATATTATTATTATTATTAATTTAAATATAATTAACATAAAAAAGAATGGTAACTAACAGAAGTAGTCAGTTTATAAGTAAAGTATTTTTAAAATTGTTTTCTTTCAATATTTTTCAAGAATTTAATATGTAGATACTTCTAAAATAAATATATATATATAACCTTTACTAAAAGTTGACAGTTAAAAAAAAGTCGTAAAATAATCATAACTTGTTTTGGTCACACCTTGAATCAAGCCATCAGGCAACATCTCACTTTTTTTAAATTCAACTTTTATAATTATATTTTAAAAATTGAAGGTAAATTTTTGTTTCTCACACGTTTTTTGTAAAAATTATTCTTGACAATTCTAAATTATGATTTTTGTGAAAATAATTATATAGCAAAAAGTTTGAATTTTCATATTTTATACAAAATTTAAAAGGTAAAAAAGAAACAGTATGGTTCAATCAACAATAATGCGTATAAAAAAGAAAAATTTTCATTAATTGAATTAAACTATTTTTTATGTTTTGTTAATTATATAAGAAAAGAGTTTTTTTTTTTTTTATTACTTTGTTCTCTAAATCTGAAATAGTGAAAATTTTAACTAATTTTAATTAGTTACTTACTTTTTGCTTTTGACTTAGTTAAATTTTACTAATTAATAGTAAAAAAAAAATTTTTTTGGTATCGAATTAGTTAAATTCTACTATTATTTTTTTTATTATCGAGTTAGTAAAATTTAACTTAAAAAGCAAAAAGTAAATTACAAATTCTAATTACACGGAGAAAAATGGAAAAACAAAAATAAACGAAGCTGATAAGTACGCAACGTTTATGATAAACGATTTTTAAAGAAAAAATTTTTTAAAGTGTAAAATTCTCTTATTTTTTGCCTAAAAAATATATATCTTGTAGTTTTCATTAATCAACAAATTATAAAAAATATATTTTTTAGGTAAAAAATTAGAGAATTTTTCATTTTAAAAATTATTTCTTTAAAAAGCCGTTTATCATAAACGTTGCGTACTTCAGCTTTGTGTAACTTTTACTACTTTCGTATAGTAAATTCTAAGCTGCCCCGAATTTCTGGTAATTTTTGCTCTTTAAATAGTAGAAACTACAATTTCCGAAGTAAATTTTACTATTTTAGTATTAATTTTTTTTTATTCCCAAAGCAAAAGTTGACAGAAATTTCGGAAAATTTTGGATTTTACTTTCTAAATAGTAAAAGTTATTTAAAATTTTTTTATAGGAAAAATTTTTACTAATTCAAATTAAGAGATTGAATGAGGGAATAAAAAAAAAATAAAATAAATTGATGGGTTTTATATAGGCTTTTATCGATAAAATATCAAGACAATATAAATTACTGTTTAAATGTAACAATTTTCAACAAAATTGATTTGTTGTAATCAATTTGAAACTCTGGTGTTCCACTTTGTTACAAGTCAATTTTCATAGTGTGTATGACCCTCGATAGCGGCAAAATGTAATTCCACGACACACATGGGTCCTCTCTCATCTCTCTCTCTCTCTCTCTCTCTCTCTCTGAATATATATATGTATATATTGTGCATTAAAGCTTTGCGGCGGAAGAGATATATATTCTAACGATAGGATCTTTAGAAAATCAAAACACAATTATGTAACCTGTCCACGAGGGAAACCATTCAATCCCTCCAAGATGCATACGCGTGTACCGTCCCTTATATTCACGTCTATTTATAATAGGGGAGATACTACATAATCACCCTTTTGCAAACTGTGAAAGCGTGACCAAGGTTACATGTTGCTTGAATCCCTCTTGAATCGAAAATTCCATTTAATGTGAAAGATTGGTGACTTTTTTTTCACGCGAATCTTAAAGCGATTGAGTATAAAATTTAACTTTGAAAAATTAAAATTTCTATCAATTTTAGTAAAAAGAAAAAATACTAAATTTCCATGTACTTTGCAAACAAATCCGTCTTTTTTCACTTGCAAACGCTGGACAAATTTATATTGTCGGGTATACACGTGTCTTGAATGGAGTGAGGCATAGACAAGTAACTAATCTTGATGTTCGAAACTTCTGGAATCTATTTGAATTTTATTTAAATGGATTGCTCGTTTTCCGGAATAGTTTTTCAACTCCATTAGGCGAATTTCTTTTCTCAATTTCGAAAAATTTATATTTTATAAATAAAAAGTTAACTATTACATTTTTGTATAGGCATTTTGAAAAAGTGTAGCGCGCCAGAAGGAGGTTTAAATAAAAATGAGTTGGCACTTAAAAATTCTTTTTGATTATGATTCTTAAATAAATAAAAACCATTTTTCAATAGGTTTTAAAATCAACTTATGTGCCAAATTTAAAAAAAAAATTGAGTTTTAAATATATATAAAAATAGTGTTTTATGAGGAACCAGAATTTATTTAATGTATATACTTATATGCGTATAGATTTGGGTTCATATAAATTTATTAACATTGAAGTTATTTTCTTGTTTTGTTTTTATATTTATGCATTAAGAGTGTCGAACGGTATCTGAAATTCTTTATAGCAAGAAGAGAGTTTTAATTATCGCTCTCAACGTGAAATAGTATTGATTTTAAAATACTTTTTTCTCGAAACAAAGAATACTTTTAACAAAATCAGCAAAAATCCTCATCTTATAAATTTCCTAAATCCAAAAGACGGTACGAATCCATAGAAAAATATGGTTGCAAAACAAAAAGTAGAAAAGTAATCTAATAACAGCTGCGACTTTGTGCGCTATGCATGCTGCTGCCATCTGACGGCGGCAGGAGGTAATGAACCCCTCATTATATTACTTTTCGTTTTGCAATCGTGTTTTTGTATGGATTCGCATAATCTTTCGGATTTAGGAAATTTATATAAGATAAGAATCTCTAGCTGCTTTTGTAAAAAAAAGTGTCCGTTTTTCAAGAAGAAAGTATTTTAAAATTAATGTTTATCATTTTCACGTTTAGTGCCGTTTTTATAGGGCGATAATAATTAAAGGTCTCCTCTTTCCAAAGAATTTCAGACTCTCTTAAATAAATTTTGTCCCTCTTAAAATAGTTCTTTTAACATTATGATTTAATTTTTTAAAATCGTATATAAACACTACAGCAACATAATTATTTATATGTAAAATTAAAAATAAGTAATTATTTTATCATTTATTACAGTATTTATTAGATTCTGATTCCCCATGAAATTACTGTTTTTTTATATAAAAACTAATTTTTGTTTTTTTATATAAAAACTAATTTTTGTTTTTTTAAATCGGGCACGTAAACTGATTTTACAAAACTATTGAGAAATGTTTTTTATTTAATGAATTTTTAAGTGCCAATTCATTTTTATTTAAATCACCTTCTGGCGTAGGTAAAGTTTTAGATTTGGCATTTTTCGAGAAGTATTTAGTATACTAATGGATATGGGAAACATCTGAGTTTACGTTTTTTTTCTCCTTTCTCTGTTTAAAGGCAAATAAACCACTAATGGAAAAGCGACGACGAGCGAGAATCAACCAGTCTTTGGCGGCGCTGAAGGCCCTTATTCTTGACAGCGCTCGCTTAGAAAACACAAAACACAGTAAACTTGAAAAAGCTGATATTCTCGAATTAACAGTTCGACATCTACAGAGACAACGATCTCTAGCCCAACCTGGACTCTCTAGGTATAAGGCTGGATATCAGGATTGTTCACGTGAGGTGAGATTTTTTTTTTTCTGTTAGGAATTTTCAATTTCTGTTCAAAATTATTAGACGCAATTTAAAAATTTGTTGATAAATTTGCTATTTCGCAGGTGAGTCGTTATTTGGAAGCGCCTGATATAATAACAGGAAACACAACTCCAATGGACCCAGCCGTGAAACAAAGGCTACAACGTCATTTGGATAGTTGTGTTTCTGAATTGGATTTGGATTTAGGCTCAAGGCCCGACAGCGGTCTTGGTAGTAGTCCAGGTAGTGTGACTGATCGAACAACAGGTGTAACGAGTCCTGGACCATTGGATCATCATACACCACATTGTAGTACGGCGCTAAAGCCAACAATGATGAAAACGGAAATAGCAGAAATTGAGGCTGATAGGCCCGACAGTAGTACAACGGCAGGCGATGAAAATAATAATAGCAGTAGGCCAACATCAGCATTTAGTCAAGTGAATCCAACGAGTCTTGATTCACATCAACCAACTGAGATAAACGCCGATCAAGCGTCAACGTCACAAGATAATGCAAATATGCTATCTGTTGTTCAAGTGATACCATCAAGATTACCCGATGGTCAAGTTGTATTTTTACTACCTAGTCATTATGTTCAATTGGCAGCGGCAGCTGCTGCCAATGGCATAAGCATTGGACCAAATCCACCAACTGCAATTTGGGCAGCGACAAATATGTCACTTCTTAAAACAACTGATAAAATAAATAAAAGGCCACACGATGATTTACAAGATTGGTCTGATGGTGGAAAATTAAAGAAACAACCAAAATTAGAGCAACCAGAGCAACCACTTGATTTTACAACATCGTCGAAGAAATTATCGAAAATTCCACGTGAAGATAATGGACAAATGAGAACGCCAATAATGGAGAATACAATTATTAATGAGGGTAGACCTTCTAGTCATGCCAGTAGTGAAGCTGGACGTATGGAATTATTACCGCCTGTTTGTCAACAGAGCGTCAAGGACGAGGAAGGCATGTGGCGACCTTGGTAAATTGCAATTTTGTACAAACCTTTTTTTTCTTTTTTTTTTCTTTTTTTGCCGTGTCTTGATTGCAAGAGTGATGCTGAATTTTCCAAAAGGCGCGCGAGAGATAAAGGTCAACTTTGATGTATAGGAACGCAGAAAAACAATAGAAAATTGTTGTTGTTGTTGTTTCACGCATCTAATCTTATTTAACAAATAAGGTGTTATAATCCTTTTTACATCCGATAGCTTGGAAAAATATTGTTATTTATTCTCTAAATTGATATGAAGCGAGTAAAAATTTGACTATAATTATTTTCTTCTTCTTTTTTGGAAATAGAATTCTTTTCCGAAAAAAGAAAATTCTTTGAGAAAGTATAGATTGAAGAAACGAAAGTACAACAAAAAGAGGGAGAAAAAGTCAAAAAAGAATTACAGAAGAATTAACACGTTCGTAATTTTTTTTTACAAATTACAGCAACACAATATTGTTATCCGAACTAAAGGAATAATTTTCTTATAAACACTTGTTATTGTTTGATAATTGTTTCAACTAAGCACTTCATTCTCTTTAAATCTGAATTAGTAAAAATGTTTATTAATTTAAGTGACTCACTTTTTGCTTTAGAATTAGTTAAATTTTACTAATTTTTAGTAAAAATTACTAATAATTAGTAAAATTTTACTAATTCTAAAGCAAAAAGTGAGTCACTTAAATTAGTAAACATTTTTACTAATTCAGATTTAGAGAGTTCAATATTACCAGTAAAAAAAATCTTATGGTTCTAAAAATCATTAGAAACTAAAATCATTATCTAAAATCACTTTTTATTATCAATAATTGTAAATTTTTGAATTTTTTTTTTTTTTTGTTGAATATAAACCAAATGAGATAAAATTTCTCAATTTTTAAAAAGTGTTGAAAGAACACTTGTTTTAAGAATCAATTGGTTTTTCTTGTTTGTACATTTTTTCTTGTTTATCATATTATATCCTTTTTTTTTTTTTTTATCTCATTTGGTTTCGCGTGTTATAATATTACTTATTACAACACGAAAAGTTTTACGTAACTTTTAGTCATGCTGTTAATTTTTAATTCTGTAATTTATGTAAAATATATATCATACACGTAAACTGTGTTGAAATTAATAACAGAAAATATTCTGTACTTTAAAAAATTGTTTTTATTCTAAATTTGTTTTTGAAAAGAAAATTATTATTTTAATAACAGTTGTTTTTTTTTAATTGAATATTTGATTCTAATAAAGAAAACTCACAGATGCAAAAATATGAAAATTAAATTAAAAATATTACTGTTTTTAATTTTAATAAAACGGCTTTTCTAATGCCGATTATCGTACAGAATAATTTTTTTTTGAAAAATCTTTAAAAAATAAAATGTTTTTTTGTTTCTCTTACTAAAGGAAAAGAAAATTCTTTTCCGTTTGTTACGAATTAAACATTTTTTAATAATATACTCAATTAAGAAACTATTAGTTCCTGTTTTTTATTACCAAAGAAATATGTTCTGTTCATTTTTAAAGTTTATTTTGCCATTAATTTAAAATATTGTTAATATTTTTCGAAATTCGAAACTCATCGACACATATTATATATATATATATATATAAAATAGAATTCATCATAAAATATTTGTATAGATTTGAAGAAAGTGAAAGTTAAAACAAATTTTTGTGTCTAAAAAAGGCTTTTTCTTTATTGGTTTTTTTTTCATTAGAGAATTTTTACAAACTCTTAAAATAATTGAATTAATAATATAAAAAAGTGAATAAATTTTATTCTAACTTTAAGAATAGAAATTTCATTTGTATTCTTATTAAAATAAAATTTTTCAAATAATATCTATTTGTGAAAACATATATTTTTTGTTTTTCACACATTTTTTTTTATAAGCCATACATCGAAATTTGTTTGCTAAAAAATATTCATTTTATTTGTTAAAAAAAAATATAATGAAAAAAAAACAGCCATAATTCAGGAAAAAATTTTTTAATTGTGCGCAAAAAGAAAGAAAATGATCGTCATGCTATCTATTGTCAATGCTACCGAAGAAAGTTTTATCTTATCAAAAATCTGTATTTAATATTGTAGTGCAAAAAAAAAGGATTCGCGCAATATCGAATTTAATATATGTAAATTATATATAAAAAAAATGTAAATTACGAGGAGCGCACTAGGAATGAAAAAAAAAAAAAAAAATAAGGAGAGCACAAAAAATTTCTTCCAAAATATACATAGAAAAAAAATAGAGTGGTTGAAATAAAAACAAAAAAAAATTAAATAAATAAAAGAAAAAGCTCCTGTATTCTTACATTCTTTAGACACTCTCTTAATATATATGTAAATAGTTTTCAATTGATGAATCTTGCTATTACAAAAAGATAGATTTATTTTGATGTTATCTAGGTATATATGCGAAACAATGAATGTACGATGGTGCGTGTGAGAGAGAAATTACGAAATTATGACGTAGAAAACATCATTCACGTTCTAGTGTTACTAAAAGAAAAAAAAAAAAATTACAATTACTATAAATATCTTGGAATTGGATTCCTCATTGAGTGTACTTAGTTTTTTTTTTTGCAGTCAATATACGCAATTATTGAACTGTATCGCGATTTATTTAATCTGCTTCCTTATAAACAATTCCTGTGATCCATCATCCTTTATCTTTATAAAAAAAATATATATATATAATAAATAATAAAACAATCCGGACACTGTGTTTTTTCGTGATTGCAAAAAAAAATTCGTTTAATATAAAAAGAACACCAACAAAAAAATTATTTAAAAAAATAAGAATATTTTTAATTAATAAATTTATATTAAATAGAATATATATTTTTATGTTAAATTAAATATAATTTTATTAATTGCTGCATGTTTATTAATAATTTTTAAACACAGTGTTTGTTGATAATAGTTATACTGAAAAAAAAAATTTATTTGATTCAAATAATCGGTTATTTCATCAAGAGAAATTTATTTTTCTAAGAGCCAAGTAAATATTTATTTGTTGCAAATAAATTTTTACTTGATTTATATAAAAATTTTATTTATGACAAATAAAATTTTTATTTACACCAAATAAATGTACTGTGACAAATATAAGTTTATTTAACTCAAATATACACTGAAAAAAAAATTTATTTGATTCAAATACCGGTGTATTTGGTTATTAGCAAATAAATATTTACTTGAATCAAATATTTCTTATTTGAATCAAATATATAATATTTGAATCAAATAAATTTTTCTTTCAGTGTATTATATTTGGTTTAAATAAAAAATTTCTCTGCGTGTTGACTATATTATTAAATAAATATTTATTTGAAGCAAATAATTAAACTTTATTTGAACCAATAATTTCTGTATTTGAAATAAATACCATTTAATTGGCTCAAATAATAATTAAATATTTATTTGATAATAAAATAACCGATTTTTTAAATCTTTTTTTTTTTCAGTGTAGTATTAAAAATAAATTGAATTGACATTATTTTAAAAAAAAAGAAAATATCATAGAAAATGAAGTAAAAGATGATTTTTTACATCTTTTCTTTTGTTTTTTTATTGGTAATCGATTGCAATTTTTTAAGGAATATGTCCCTTTTTATTCTCTGTAACATTGTATATCTAACAGTCATAAATATTTTCTTTTTTTAAAGAAAAATAACGTTTTTTTTTTTTTTATTTGATTTTCTTTTATAACGAGATAAATGTATATTGACTAATACTTTCAAATTTATCGTATTGATAGTTGGATTTTTTTTTTTTTTTTTTTTTTGGAAGAGATCTCTTTTGGAAGTTGAGTTTAAATTTATCCAAAACTCTTTCTCTTTTTAATTTATTAAAGAAACATTAATTGCAAAATTAAAAATTTCATTTTTTTTTAATTTAATGTTTTTAAATACGAAAATTTTTGAAAAATTAAAATTTTAGTATTTATGACTCAAATTTTAATAGAAATTAAAAAAATTTTTATTTTTACAATTTTTGGTATAAAATTAAAAATTTTGTATATTAATACTAAAATTTTAGTCATATAATGACAAAAAGTTTTTTTCTTTCTTTGTATAATATCAATGGAAGAATTGTAAATTGGTTTTTTTTATGAGACTTTTCGTAAATAAGTTTCTCTATATTTTTTTTTTTTTGTTTTTTTCTTTTCTTTTTTGTTTACAGTGACTTTTCTAAATAATTTCTAATATATTTGTACACAATTACGAATAGTTTCTTTCAAGCGTTCCTCATATTTTATATATTATTATAATAATATTTATATATTTAAAAAACAAAAACAGATTTCTATATAGATTAGAAAAAAGTGACAACTTTGCATATACCCAACAATGATTTCTACTTAGCGACTATTATTTACAAGAATCTAAAATGTTTTTTTTAAAAAAAAAATAAGTTATGTAACAACCAATATATATATATATAGCTATATTATTATCCCATCAAGGGAAATAAAGTCTCTGTAAAGCGAATTTATCTATATATATTATATTAATAATAATATTATTTTTTATTATTGCTAATATTAATTAATTAGGTCGGTACCACTTATTGACTAAAAATTATTCTTCCGCGGATATAATTTTTTTTTTTCATTCACTTTTCTAGTGATGATGCATCACTAGATTTTGAAAATTCGTTAATAATCTTTTCATTAGTTTATACGGGATTGGAGCATGTTCTATTCACAAGTAGAGTGTCGGAATCTTGATGTTTCCGTATGAGTGGAGGACTTCGTGATTTTGGACACAGGCACTCTCAAATGGTCTTTTTCCTTTTTAAATCGTTATTGCTAACAAACATGTGCGAGTATTCTGTACGCGAACTCAATACCACTAAAATATCATCTGGAAAATGTTTTCGAAAAATTAAAAATTTATTTCCTTTATTTTGAATTAAATTAATCAATTAATTAATATGAAATTAATAATATATATGGGGCATATTCTTTGTCAAAAAGACATCACCTCTGCCCAAAATAAATTTAATTAAAAAAAAAAGCTCTACCTGGACTTAAATTACAGCAAATTTTGTCTATTTTTTGATGCCGTATTGCACTTTTTAAATATTAAACATGGGGGACCACAAATGTTAAAAAAAACCTTCAGTATTATCAAAAAAAGTAATATTTTTTCAATACAAGGTTAAAAATTATTTTTTTAAATAAAAATCGATTACCTGCATAGAAATTTGCATTATCGACTGATGGTAAAAGCAGGAACATGATGACATAAAAAATTGCCGACATAGAAATCTACATTACCGACTGATGGTAAAACGGGAAACCGATGCTGTAAAAAATTACCATTATAGAAATCTACATAACTAATTGATGGTGAAGAGGAAGAATTTTTTAATTTTGAAATTTTTTGACCATCAGTCGGTAATGTAGATTTCTGTGTCGGTAATCGATTTTTTTTAAAATAAGTCTTAACCTTGTATTAAAAAACTATTATATCCGCATGTTTAATATTTAAAAAGTGACATACAGCACCAAAAAATAGACAAAATTTGCTGTAATTTAAGCCCATATACAGCTTTTTTTAATTAAATCTATTCTTTTTGAAAAAGAATGCGCCATATATATATATAATTATATATAAAATTAATTAATTTAATTAATTAATGAAAATAAATGATTATATATTACCCAAACTGACTCGATCGGCGTTTTCCTCTCGTTTAGCTTGAAGAAAAATTCTTTCTGTATCGTCCGGTGAAATATGAAGCGAAAGCTTGAGAGCTTTTTTTAGTTCGTTAATATTTAAATATTTCATTCCACTAGGACTACATAGCTGAAAGATGTAATTTTTTTTATTAGAAATTGTGATATTTTTTTCGGTGGATAATTGTTTCAGAAATTAGGGTTTTAAAAAAAAAATAAAAAAATTTACCTCAAATGCAAGATTTAGTAAATCCAATTCGGAATTGGCTGTTGCTACTGCTACTACTGTGAAGACATATTCTTCAAAATCTATTTTCCCCGATCCATGCTGAAAGATAAAAAAAAAAATTCTCATTTAAATCATAATTATATTTTTAAAAATTTTTTTTTAATTCTTTTAATGTGCTAATTATTATTAATTTAATAAAGAATATAATTTTTACCACATAAAATATAAGAATTAAAAATTGTTTTAACTTCACACCCAGAGAAATGATTTATTTGAACTAAATAAAATATATTTGAATTAAATAAACGTATATTTCATGCAAAAAAAATCTTCACCTGGAACAGCGATATATTTCTCTAGAATAGGAAAAACTTTCATTGTTTTAGTGAAACATATCGCTAATCTAGGTAAAGAGATTTTTTTGCTTGCTGTACTAACTTATTTATTTGGAGTAAATAAAAGTTTTATTTGTCCTAAATCAATTTTTCTTTGGCTTAAATAAATTTTTTATTTAAATAAAAAAAAAATATTTATATTTGCAACAAATAAATGATTTCATACATCCAGAAGAATGGTACATTTGTCTCATTGCCTAATAAATATTTGTTTGATTTATATAAATTTTTATTATTATGTAATTTTATTAAATTTTTATTATTTTTTTAAATTTTATTTACGCCAAATAAATAGGCTAGTATACACGCAGAGAAATGATTTATTTGAAACAAATAAAAAATATATTTGAGTTAAATAAACGTATATATTTGTCTCAGAGCCTACTAACTTATTTATTTGGCGTAAATAAAAGTTTTATTTGTCATAAATAAATTTTTCTTTGCCTCAAATAAATTTTTTATTTCAATGAAATAAAATATATTTGCAACAAATAAATGAGTTAGTAGGCTCGAAGACAAATATACCATTTCTCTGAGTGTAGGCTGTGAGTCAAATATACGTTTATTTAACTCAAATATATATTTGGTTCAAATAAAATAATTATTTATTTATTATTTTATTATAAATTTTATAATAATTATTTTTTCTTTTTTATTTTTATTTTAATTTTTTCTTAAAGTATCATCACTATGCAACTGTAATTATTTTTTGACATTTAATTTTTAGGATCTTTCTGATCACAAAATATGCTTTTAAATCTTAGATCTCGAAACGAGGAAGATGACTCTCACTCAATCATGCTCCATAGAGCGAAAGTTACTTTTGAGATATCAAGTCTTTTATAGAAGATCGATAAGAGTGAATTTGCGGCGCAATCTCCTCTATATACTGCGTCGTAGTATATAGAATCTAATTTCATTTCGTTTCTAATTTTTGCAAAAAAATTTGTATTCAGGACGAATAAGAAAAGAAGGAACAATTAATTTTTTCTTCCATATACTTACCCTGTCATTAATCTTGAAAAGTTGTTGAGTTGTTAGATCCTTATCATCGAGTCTAAGTAATCTAGCGAATTCATATAAATCGACCTCAGTGGAAAGTCTCTCTGTTTTGTTCTGCACCAATTCCTCTTCGGTTTTTGCTTTTATTAAACTGTAAAAAAAACATGTTTTTACAATTAAATCTTCTATTTCTATATTTTTACGATCCGTTTCTGTAAGTGGTTAATTGTTTTGTTTTTTTTTTTTTTATTAGAAAAATATTTACCCTAGTTTGTAGCGTAATTTGTGTGCCTCAACGAGACTTGAGGCATGAGGAATATGTAGTTGATGTGCTTTTGTTATTATTCTGCAATCATCGTACGTGTAATCAGATACTGGAATTTGTAGTGCTCTGGAAAAAAGAAAATTAAAATTGATAAAATTTTATTTTTTTATTTTCAAAAAATTTTTTTTTTAAGTAGATAAAATTCTATTTTTTTGATTTTCAAATTTTTTTAAATTTGAAGGCACAGGTGCTACCATCTGACGGTCGAGACACTAAACACTGAACTGTATACCTTTTATTGGTAACTGTTGAAACTGTTATTAAATTATCTTCAATGGTAACTTTTCTAAATTGGGGTTCTACTCTTAAATTTAGAATATATATTTAATATCAAATTAAATATTTAAAAATATTTTAAGAGTATTTAGAAAATGGCAAATTTCATAAGAATTCAGATATTTTGTACAAGGAAAATTTATTCTTAATTTTAGAATATTTCTTCAGTTGTGTATTGCAATATTTCCCCAATATTTCTGCGCAAGATTTGGCTAAATTTTTTTTTTTTTTTGGTATAATTTTGATTCAACCAAATTTTGCTTTTGGTACACTGAAAAAAATTTATTTGGTTCAAATAAAAATTAATTTATTTGTATGAAATAATTTTTATTTGTATCACATAAACTGTATTTAAAACAAATAATTTCTGTATTTGATATAAATAAAATTTAATACTCAAATAAAAATTATTTGGTTCAAGAAAATAATTTTATTTTGATTAAATAATCGATTATTTAAATCAAATAAATTTTTTTTCATTGTCATAATATTTAGAGTAAAAAATATAATTTGAAAATTATATTAAAATAAACTAAGTACATCATTTAATATAATTTTTCGTGATTTTCGATTTTTTTGGTCAATTATTAAAACGTGATTGAAAATTTTGAGTTGGGATTTTTTTTTTTAGGAAAAGTTAATTCTATAATATATGAAAGCTTGAATGTTTTGCTGCAATGCGTGTAAGCTGATAATTATTTGCGCAAACACGTAGACGAATTTTCTGACTCATTTCACAAACTAAGCAAAAATATCTTTTCATGAATATTTGAATAATCAATTTTTATTTCTCTATTTCATTTTTATATTAATATTATATTTTCGTTTTTTTTTTTGACAAAAAGTAATATTGATATAATAGTGAAATAAATTTGTTTATACATTTTATTTTTTTTTTTTGATAAAATTCTTAATACCAAAAATTAAACGTTATTTCAAAATTTAAATATAATATTAATTCCTTTTAAAGAATTAATTTTTCGATTATAATGAAATTATAGAAATATAATTTATTTTCAAAAATATATTTTGCCAAAAAAAAAAATGAGTACGAAAAAGTAATGTGAGATTTTATTAAATATTTAATAAAATTTATACGAAGACTTACTCGGCCATAAACCGACGAACATTGTTTGCGTAGAGTTTAGGATCTGTCTTCTCAGCTTCACTTGGTTTATAAACTGGTAAAAATTCAATCTCACAACTGCTATTCAATTGAGTGAGCGTTAACCACAATAATTTTAGTCTAAAACAAAAAAAAAATTAATTTATTTATATTATTTATATTTTATTACGGTTTTTTTACGTTTCGAAGTAATTCCCTTTTTTTTAATTAGTAATTAATTAATTTTAACTGAATTTAAAAATAAATTGTACTTAAATTTTTTTTTTATTCAAGTATTTATTTTTAATTTCAATTTTTTTCGGTTATTATAGAATTTTTGACTCGAACAAATTTTTTTTTCTTAAAAAAAACTTGTTTTATGAGTTGCATTTTCCGAAAGTGTGTTACTGTTACAGAAAAATTGTGATTATTAGATAATAAAATTCTTACTGTTTTTTTTTTTTTTGAAAAAGAGAGAGAGGTAATAAAATTGTGAAAAAACTATAAGTACTTACGCTCCAGGACCTTCCCATGTCCATGTAACTGTATCTAACTTATTGGGATAGCGTATGCAAACTGGTTGAACAGGCACTCCGGGATAAAAAGCGCCAGACTTAAATGTAATCAGACAAGAACGATTGGTGCATGTGCCTTCCGGAAATATCATTACCTGCAACAATTTGTTAAAAAATTATTTTATTTAAATTATTCATTCTTTTTATTTTAATTATTTAATTCAAATTATATAATTATTACTAAATTAATTATTATAATTGAAATTATTAATTATTACTAACACAGAAAATTAAAAGGCATTAAAATAAGCTGCAACGCTTATTATTTTAATTCAATTTTGCTTATTTTAATACCAAAATGGATTAAAATAAGCAAAATTTGATTAAAATAATAAGCTTATTTTAATGCCTTTTAATTTTCTGTGAAATTAATTATTATAATTGAAATTATTAATTATTAAATTATTATATAATTAATAATTAAAATTAAAATTATTTAATTGAAATTATTAATTATTACCTAATTAATTAATCTATTTTAAATTTATTTAATTCAAATTTTTAATTATTACACCCAGAGAAATGATTTATTTGAATCAAATAAAATATATTTAAATTAAATAAACGTATATTTGTCTCAGTGCCTACTAACTTATTTATTTGGTGTAAATAAAAATTTTATTTGTCATTAATAAATTTTTCTTTAGTTTAAATAAATTTTTTATTCAAATGAAATAAAATATATTTGCAACAATTAAATGAGTTAGTAGACTCTGAGATAAATATACTATTTTATCTGAGTAAATATTATTAATTGTTAAAAAAAAAATTCTATGTTCAATAATTCTTAAATTAAGAAATATTCTTATTTTAAGATTATTATATTATTTTTTTTTTAAATATAAACCACAATTTTTTTCCTAAATTAAGAATATCGTTTTTTCGGTGCATTTATTTATTATTATTGTTTTTTTTTTTTCTATATAAAAATGTACCTGAGGCCAATCTTCTTTCGATGTTGCTCTATCAATAATTTCCTTGATGGTATTTTGCCTTGAATTTGGATCATCTCGCCAAACATACACCGGTTGTGTATAATTGATGAGTTCTGAAAATATTTTTCGATATTAATTTAGTAAAACTTTCTCCATTAATTTTTTTTAAATCTGTAAAAATCAATGACACTGATTTTTTATAGTGAAAAAAAAAATTTTTTTTTGACATTAAATTTTAATGTGACTAGAGGAAAGATATATATATATTTGTCTCTCAGAGTCAAATAAATATTTATTTAATTCAAATATTTTAATATTTATTTATAAATATTAATTTTATTTATTCCAATTATTTTAATATTTATTTCAATACTATTCTCTATATCTGAATTAGTAAAAATATTTAGTAAAACTTACTAATAATTAATAAAATTTTAGAAATTCAGAATCAAAAAGTGAGTCACTAATTCAAATTAATAAACATTTTTACTAATTCACATTTAGGGAGATAATTTTTTTTATTTGTTACAAATAAATTTTAATTGTTTTAAATAAAATTTTATCTTAAATAAAAAAAAAGTAGTATCAAAATAAATATAAAAATAATTTTCAAAAAATAATATTTATTTGAAATAAAAAAAAAGTTAGTTATTTTAATATTTATTTAAATACTAATTTTTTATATTTATTTAATATTTAAATAAATAAATAATATTATTTGTCTTAAATAAATTTTATTTTTTCTCAAAATAAACGCAAATAAAACATTTTTCTTGGTATAAAAATTGAAAGTACAATTTTTTATATTCGTTTTTTTTTTTTTTTTTTTTTTTTTATCAAGTTTTGCCATTTAATTTAGTATACATATATGGTGAATGTGAATATTCTTGTCTTTTTAATTTTTTTTAATTACAATTCATAAATCTTGTTTATGTTCATTTTGCTAAAAAATTAGGACACTCTTTAATAATAAAACTTTATATATAGATATCTTAAAAAAAAACGTTTGATAGGTTCTTTAATGTGAAAAAGTTACCTTGAATTTGAATATTATTTTCATTGTAATGAAAAGAAAAAAAAATATTGGAAGGACATTTAAACCTATTTTATTAATAATATTTTAAAAGCAAACGTCCCTCATTATTTTCTATTATTTTATTTAAATAAAATTAACTATGAATTTTTCGAATTTCATTTCTCTTAATCTTAACAGTGGGTCGAGTATGTATACCTTGGTGTGTAAATAAGTTGCCTGTCCTAGTTAAAGTGTATTACCTGCTTTAAGCATGCGCACTTGTATTTTTCAATTTTAAAAAAATTATTTTTCTGTAAAGTAAACGATTAGTTAATTTACAATATATATAATTTTTTTAATTTTTTTTTTTTTTTTTTAAAGAAAATAATTTTCATAATGAAAATGAATTTACTTTCGATATATAATATTACTATGTATCCTCTTAAATGGAGATTTTCTTCTGCCTATATAATTTAACTGAAATTGAAAAAAAAAATTTGAAAAAATAAAATTTGATTCTATAGAATTTATATATATTTTGCAAAAAGAAAAAAAAATGGAAAATTACTGTGTAAAATCATGTAATGATGGTTATAGGGAATCTTCTATACTATATATGTATGAGAGGAAAAAAAAAATATGCAAAAAAAAGCATACTTCCAATGAAAGGATTCAATCCTGATTCTCGTCTAACGATGATGGAAGGAAATCCAGTAACATAGACGATACCACCGTCTATAAATGTGGAATGTGGTGCGACCACTAAGATTGGCGCTTCAGCTCGGGATGCTTGTTTTCCACGTACCACAATTTTCATTCCCCCTGCTTGATATGTCAGCCGTCCCAGAAAACATAACCAGGGTACTACTTTGCTATATGAGATTTTAAATCAAATTCAAAAATTTATTGAAAAAATTATTTTCATTTTTTATTCCATTAAAAAAAAAGTAAAAAAGCAAAATAAATAAATTTTGAAAAAAATTCCCAATTTTTATTAATAAGAAACAAAAACAATAAATGTTAATTTTAACACTTGGTACTGGATTTTATTAATTTTTTCATTTTATGTTGATTTAGAAAAATAATTTATTTCTTAACGAAATTTTTTTTTTATTTTCTCATATTTTTATATTATTTGTTTTATTTTATTTCGCTGAAAATAAAAATTTGCAAAGAATGTACAAAATATTTTTTCTTAAAAAAATTATTCTCTAATTACATTTTGACTAAATTTCTTATTTCCATTTTATTTCCCGTTATAGTATTAAATGACGCGAGGAACAGTAGTCATTTATATACTCTAATGCGGTCAGATCGTTAATAATTCATTTAAAAAAAAATTTTTTAAATTATTTTATAATTTAAAAAAAAATTTCTTTTTTCAATGACCCAAATTGACATATTTACTTTTAATATTAATTTTAATGATTATTAATTATTAATTATTAATAATTTAATTGTTAATTATTTATTTATTTTAATGATTTGAAATATTAATATTATGAAATGAAAAATAATATAGAATAGATAAATTTTTACAGTAAAATGACAAATATTGGAAAATAATAAAATAAACGTAGAAAATTCTAGAAGAAAAATAGATATAGGAAATTGTATTGAAAATAATATATATGAAAGTAATAAAAAAAGAATTGTAGATAAGAAACAAAATATTAGTTATCAAAAAAATAATTACTAGTTAATTAAAATAAACAGTATTTGATTGTTAGTTATTTTAATTCTAGTAATTATAAACTTGTTTATAATTCAATGTAATTTCAGCAAGTAGTTGACATCGTTTATTTAAAAAATTAAATTTTCATATAACAAATAAAAATTTATCTCTTTTTTTGAATAACAAAAAATAAATATAATTGAATAAAAATAAAAAATCTCGAAATATGACGAAAAAACGAAAATTTTTTTTTTTTTTTTTAATTAGAAAATACCTTTAATTGATCTATATGAATTTTGTTATTTTATTTTTTATTATATATGAAATTTAATAAAATCCAGAATTGGTGTTAATTTACATTGGAAAAATTAGACAGAAATTAATATTTCACATATAGTTGGAATATTTTACAAGGAAAACGGTAACATTGAAAAATATAACAATTAATTTTCGAAAAATTTGTCACGTAAAAAATATATTATATTTTTTACGGGAAAAATTATATTATTAAATATTACATTTTTTACGTAAAAAAATATATTATTAAATATTATATTTTTTACGTAAAAAAATATATTATTGAATATTATTTAAAAAAAAAAATACAAATTTTTATGACAATATTCACCTACACCATTTATTACATTATTCCCAATTAACAAATAATGTTGTCATGTTAGTTAATATACCAATTATTCTTAATAATAATTAAGATCGACTTTACATAAAGTCACGTTCATTAAAAACAAGAAATCACATCCACCATATATATGAAAAATTCAAAATATTTAATAAAAATTTATAGATTTTTTTTTTTTTTTATAAAAATAGATTCAATTACCATTGTGATTTTCACCAAGTGTTATTTTTTTTGCACTATATATATATATATATATATTATTTTTGAGAAAAAAATATCTCTATGAAAATAGGCCTTAATAATAATAATTAGTTATATTCGTGCTCAATTTTTGTTAAGTTTTAGTCCATATATTCCCATTTTTTATATTTCCTTCATGCTTATTGTTTTACAAATTGTTTGAGAGCACGTACATGCTGAGAAATAATTTACCAGAATGTAGAAGGAAAAGAAAAAAGTGTTAAAAATATATTTTTAATACTGTTTTAAAAATAATACCATATAATTGAATAATTTTTAGTATTTATTTGACTAAAAATTAATTAATTGTTATATTATTTTTTTGAAAAGAGTATTTAAAATAAAAATCACATTGAAAAAAAATTTTATTTGATTCAAGTTATCAGTTATATACATATCAAATAAATATTTATTTGAAGCAAATAATTTTTATATGAATCAAATAAATTTTTTTTCAGTACACCAAATAGAAGCTTAAAAGTGTGGAAAAAATATTTTTTTTTTAATTTAAAAAGAAAAATTATTATTAACATTTGAATTTAAAATTTTTTCCAAAAAATTCAAATTGTTGTATTTGTAATTTCTATTAAAAAATTAATAATGACTCTTATTTGAAAGTCGTATATTAATTTATGCTCCCGAGGATAATTTTTGTTTTCCTCTTTATTAAATAGGTAAAATTATATTTAGAAACAATAGTTTCTTTTTATTTCGAAGTAATTTAATCTTTGATTTATTCAGAAAAAAAGCACGATTTGCTTTGTAGGTTGCGAATTATAATTTCTCTCTGTGGTAAAAAAAAGTGACTAATTTAATTATCGCTAGAAAACGCGCAATGACCACGAGCTCATGAAACGAATAGTTGATAATTATACACGGTTAAAAAAAAAAAATACATCATCCGTATAATAGTGTATTTATTTAAAAATTTTTTTTTTTATTTCCTGAGGCTATGATGATGATGATGATGATGATATTATTTTTGTTATAAAAAGATAAAACGTACTTCCGAAAAAGGGAATTGTTGATGTTTCTGCCTTGGCGACGATGCTCGGTCCACCGAGATAAACAACCGGAAGTGCATCAAAGAATGAAGAATGGGGTGCTAGGGCCAATATTGGTGCATCCTTCATTGGCGCTTTTTGACCTTTTACTTTTAAATGATGAAATCCACCGCAGACAAAAAGTGCTCTCATTACCCAGCAAACCAGCACCCTCATGTCTCTGTTATATTTTATTAATTAACACGGAAAAAATTTTCAATTTGCACAATATTCATTTTTCAAATAGTTTTTCTATTCAAAATATGTTTAATTTTACCAAAAATACATTTTATTTATTGAAATTAAGTTGTTTTTTAACGTCAATTGATTTAGAAAAAAAAAATACAGTGAAACCTCTGTAAGTGAGACACACGCTTTGAAGATCCCACTTATCAAGGGTATACTGTATTTTTTAAATTTATTTCTTTTAGGATAAAAATTGTTACAGTGAAGCCTGTGTAAGAAAAACACCCACTTACCAAGGCTATACTATATTTTGTAAAGTTTATTCATTTATGGAAAAAATATTACAGTGGAGCCTCTGTAAGTGGCCACCCACTTTCAACTTCCCACTTATCGAGGTTATACTGTATTTTTTAAATTTAATTCATTTATGAAAATAAAAATGATTACAGTGAAACCACCCATCTCAAACCTCTCAGTGAGACACCCATTTTAAAGTTCTCACTTATAGAAGTCATATTGTATTTTATCGAGGTTATACTGTACTTTTTAAATTTAATTCATTTATGAAAAAATATTACACTGAAGTCTCTGTGAGACGCTCACTCTAAACTTCCTACTTATCGAGGCTATACTGTATTTTTTGCATTTATCAAAAGAAAAATTGTTACATTAAAACCTCTGTAATTGAGACACCCATTTTAAACTTTCCACTTACTGAGGCCATACTGTTTTTTGTAGAATTAATTAATTTATTTAAAAAAATGATTACACTGAAACCTCTGTAAGTGAGACACCCACTCTAAACATCCCACTTATCGAGGCTATACTGTATTTTTAAAATCTAAATCAAAATTGACATTAAAAATTGATCTTTTAATATTAAATAAATAACATTGTTTTTTATGAATCTACGTTAACATTTAACAGTAAAAAAAAAATTTTAAATCCCAATAGAAATATTAAAATATGAATACTCGTATAAGATGATAAATAAAATAACAATAGAAAAACTATAGGCGTGCTCTAAAAATATTGGAGACATTACAAACTTAAAAGCATATACGACTGAACAAAACAAAGTATTGCGTTGCCGACTATTATTGAACGCTGACGTATAAAAAAAAAAAAAAAAAACTATAACATTTATAATTTTTGACTATTCATGCTCTCTTTGCAAAAGTTATATACTTTAAAAATAACATTTTTAAATTAAATTTTATAAACTAAAAAAATTAAAAGCCGACGAATTTAAACGTGTGTGAAAAATTTACTTAAAAAATTAAAATTTTTTTGATTATTTCCACAATATTGTTCTTTATTTTAAAATTGATACAAAGGAAATTTTTTCGGTTTGTCATTTCTTTTATGTTCTTTTAATTTTTTTCGAAACTTTTTTTTTATATATTTAAATACGTAGGCCTGGACGGAATCCAATTTAGAATTTAAAAATAATACTACAGGAGGTGTATATAGATAAATATTTATAGTCAACAAACAATTTTAAATGTAAAATCGTTATTGAGATATCTTTTAATCAATCATTTTTTTAACGGTTTTTTTTTAATTATATAAATGTAAAATATGAATTACTTTTTTTTTATTATTTTAATAAAAGAAAGGTCAAGGTAATTACACTATTTTAATAAATAATTTCTGTAAATTCTAATTACTTTCAGTTAAATAAGAAGTTTATTTAAACAAAGTTTTTTTTATTTTTTTTAAATATAATGTAAAGGCTAATTATTAGTTTTCGGTTAATTCGAATTCTTTTTTTTTATTATTATTAAAAAGTTTTAAAAAAAGAAATAGTTGATTGTATTAATAGAACACTTCCGGATAATGTTAAAATTGACGTATAAAAGTTGGAAAATAAAAATATGAAACAATTAAGTCGGTTGAATTAATTAATAAAAAATGAATATCAAGGTGTTTGGTCAGCATTGAAAACATTGATTTAACTCTAAATTATTCAGGAGTCTCTAAACTGTATACGTCACTTTTTAGTATGGATAAAATTTCTATATATGCCTAAAGACAATTTACCACACGAGTTTGTGACTTTTATCATTTAGTGTGCATTTTCGAGGTCATTTTAACATTGATAATGAAATATTTTTCTTTAATGTAGTGTTAAAAAAAAAATTAAATGTATCGCTAATTACATTGTAAATATATTTTATTTAAAAAAAAAAATTCATTTGTCATATAAAAATATTTAAAAAAGTTTTTTGTATTAGTTACAAATTGTGACTACGAGCAAAAAGTAGAAGATTTTTTATATACATGGTGATTTTTATATTCTGGACCCTCTAAAAAATTTTTTATTCTCATTTTTTTTTCGTTTTTTAAAAAAAAGTAATGAAATTTAAAAAAAAAATTTTTTTTAGGGGGTCCGGAATATAAAAATCATCTATAGGAAAATAAAAATGTGTTAATAAGCAAATGGTAAATTTAAGTAACGTGGTTCATGCGTGAATTTTATCAGAATAAATAAAATTACAATTAAGAGTAAAGGCAATAATTAAAATTAAAAAAAAAACTAATAAATAAGCATTCCATCAAACAAACGTGCATAAAATATATACAATATGAAAATTTTTCACAATATTTATGATACATTGAAAAAAAAATTTATTTGATTCAAATAATCGGTTACTTGACTATTATCAAATAAATATTTACTTGGATTAAATAATAATTATTTAATACGAATAATAATCATTCAATAGAAATAATAATTATTCAATATAAATAATAATTATTTAATATAAATAAATATTTATTTGATATCAAGTAACCGATTATTTGAATGAAATAAAAATTGTTTTCACTATAGACAGTAATTTTATTGTTATATGGATTTTATAAAAGAATTTTTGAAAAAATTTAAATAAGAAACTTACCGCCTCCATCCTTGTAGTGGAGCTCTTCGAAGATCATCTTCGGAGAGACCGTGTAATCCTAAACAAGCTAGTAACCAGGCCATTATTACTAAAGCTGTGATTGCTGCCAGCCTAAACGGCAGTAAGGCAACTGTAAGGAACGCCGTCTAAAAATTTTAAAATACAAAATTAATTTTATTTAATAATAATTTATTTATTAAAAAAAAATTTCTTTATTTTTGTATAATAAATAAACTCAGAGAATTGATTTATTTGAACCAAATAAAATATTTATTTATTTATTTATTTATTGAAATATATTTGAGTTAACTAAACGTATATATTTGTCTCAGAGCCTACTATAACCTATTTATTTGGCGTAAATAAAAATTTTATTTGTCATAAATAAAAATTTTATTTGTCATAAACAAATTTTTCTTTGGCTCAAATAAATTTTTCTTTAAAATAAAAATAATTTGTCTAAAATTGTCTCAAATAAAAATTTTATTTGTCATAAACAAATTTTTCTTTGGCTCAAATAAATTTTTCTTTGACTCAATTAAATTTTTCTTTGATTCTATTAAATTTATTTAAATGAAAAAAAAAAGATATTTGCAACAAATAAATAAGTTAGTAGGCTCGGAGACAAAAAAAACCATTCATTTGAGTGTATAAAAAAAAGAAATTTAAAGATTTTGTAGTTTAGCGCTTCGGTTAGAATCCTTCGTTCGTATTCGGTGAACTAGGGTTCGATTCCTCGCTATCCAAAAAATTTTTCCAATAAAGAAATTTAAAATAAAAAATAAATAATAAAATAATAATAATAATAATATAATAATAATTAAAAATAATAAATATAAATTTCTATTTTTTCACGGAAAAAAAAAATTATTTAATACAAATAATCGGTTATTTAAATATCAAATAAATATTTACTTAAATCAAATAATTATAATTAAAATTACAATAATTAAATATTAAACAAATTGTATTTGAACCAATAATATTTCTCTAATTGAAACAACATTTTATTGATACAATAAATATTTAATACAAACACAATTTATTTATCACAATTAAATATTTATTTAATGCAATTAAATATTTAATTTTATTTTATAATTGTTAAATAACCAATTATTTTGAATCAAATAAATTTTTTTTCAGTCTTCTTTTTTTTCTATATTATTAACTTGAAAATAATTTATTCTCTATGTTAATAATTACAATTTTAAAATTGAATAAATAAATTATTATTGATTCAAGCAATTATTTTCGCCACTGCTTAATGAATTAGATGAAAAAAAAATTTTCCAATATGGAAATTTTGCAACGGGGAAGATATTGATCTTCTCAATGAATAAACGTTTATTGGTATACTTTTGTATATATATCTGTATCTATAGTATATTGGAACAGTGTTTAGAGTTGCCTTTCACTGATTCTCATGTCAGCGAAATTTCACTGATGAAGCAATGCATTATAGAAAACAGTGAGGGGGGGGGGTAAGGGGTCACACTTGGGGCATCAGTGAAATTAGTCGAATTCCATATATTAAATTAAGAAAGTAGAAGTGCGCACTGAAAAAAAAATATTCGATGCAAATAATTACTTGACAATTATCAAAGAAATATTTCCTTGAACCAAATAAATATTTACTTGAACCAAATAAATATTTACTTGAACCAAATAAAATATTTACTTGAACCAAATAAATATTTACTTAAACTAAATAATTTTTTATTTGATTCAAATAAACTGTATTTAAACCAACAATTTTTGTATTTGAAACAAATATAGGGAAAAAAACTTTATTTGGAACAGCGATATGTTTCTCTAGATTAGCGAAAACTTTCTCTGTTTTAGTAAAATATATCGGTGTTCCAGTGAAACTTATCGCTGTTCCAGATTATTTATTTTTTTTTTTTCATGTACTCTTTAATTGAATCTAATAATATTTATTTGATAATAAGTAATAATTGGTTATTTGGATAAAATAAATTTTTTTTCCACAATGTATATCTGTAGAAGATAAAATAAAGAAAAATGAATTTTGATAATGTTAAAATTTTCACGGCGTTTCTAAATTAAAGGTAGGAAACATTACCCCTTGTTTAAATTTACACCCCAAATATTGACCCTATTTCCATTCATTGACCTGTTAAGATTTGCTTTGAGTATAGATTTTTTATCCTCTCTTTTTTTTTTTTTTTTTGAGATATCTGGGCTGAAAGGAGATCTAGCCGTGTACCCAAGTACCGTACAGTCGTTCCGTTATTTTCTCATCTGTGGCATCGATTCACTAATACACACACACACATACACGTTTGTCTCGCGAATGTCTGTATATGTTGCCTACTAACACAGAGATAGCATATAGCCCTCTCTGAAGATCGAGGTTACTGTCGAGACTTACATTTTCCCCCACACATATAAACATATACATATTTATTATACTTTGCCATACATATGTATATATATATATATATATATATATATACAAAGGTGTACGAATTCATTTGTGAAAGCCTGAAAGCATACCTTTCTCTGATAAATTTGTGTGTATATATATAAATTTTTCATCATTTTGTGCTTGTAAAGAATTTCATGAATTTGCACTGGAATTCAGATATAGATACGTGTAATACAAAATTATTATCGCCAATTTTTAAAAACCAATAGTTTTTAATTTAATAAATTTTTTTTTTTACAGGAAAATTATTTGAAAATTATTTTTGCAGTTTTCTATTTTATTAATTTATTTATGTATAATTTATAAAAAAATTTATTTAAAAAATTATATTTAATTTATCATTGAAACAGGAAGACTAAAAATTCAACGTTTTTAATAATAATAATAATAATAATAATAATGATAATTTAATAAAAACATAATGGTAAATTATTATAATTTATTTTTAAAAAAAATATTTAAATTATTATAATTTATGTATAATAAATAAAATAATAATAAATTCAATTAAAAAGTAATTTTTTACTCATACATTAAGTAATGTATTTTAAAAAATAAATTTTCAACCAGGAAATAAAGTAGATAAAATAATGTTTTTTTTGTTTTTATAAAACTCTCATACACGCGTTGGTTTCCTTTTCAGGTGAAAAAAATCGAACTAGTATTAATATTTTTAAAATTTTAAATTTTTACATAAAATCAAATTTCATGGAAATCTTATTTTCAAATAAAAAAAATAAATAACATAAAATAATAATAATATAAATAATATAAAATTTAAAAACTTATCAAAATTTTATAAAGAAAAATTTAATAATAAATTATTATTATTATTATTATTATTATTATTATGAATAAATATAATATAGTTAATAATTTTTATACTCTTTTTCTGTTTTTATTTTCAAAAAATTTTTTACATGGCCTTAAACGATAATTAGTTGTTTAAATTAAAAAAAAGAACAATTAACAATTAAAAAAAACAATTGAAACAACTAATAATTATCGTTTAAGGCGATATAAAATTTTTTTTGGAAAATAAATAAATATTTATTCAGTTTATTTCCTAATGGAAAATTTATTTGTTACAATTTTATAATATTATTTATAAATTTATATATATATTATATACAAATTAATATTAAATTAATTTGTTTTTATTAAAAAATTGTTGATTATTTTTTAAGTTAAAAAATAATTTGATTTTACTTCTCTTTTAAAATTGACTAAAAAGTTAAAAATTATAAATCAATTGTCAAAAAATGTTGATTTTTTAATGTTCCTGTTTTTAATGATAATAATAATTTTACAATGTTTTTATTTTTTTTATTTTTTTATTTTTTTTAAATATAAATGTGTATATTTGTTTAATTTATATTCTATAAAAAGAATTTTCCTTCGGCTTGTTTCGTAATCTGTCAAGGACAGAAAAATTGTTAAGAGATTTACTTTGAACTGAAATAATAAGATTGTGGGTCTTCGAAATCCAATGAAACATAAGTGCCCTGAAGCTGTATTTTAAAATTCAACTGGAAATCCCAATAATTTTCTAATAAATAAATATATTGAGTCAATCAATAATATCTGATAAAATAAATCAATAATACATATTTAATATTTTCTTTGGCCATTTATTTGGCGTAAATAAATTTTTTTATTTAAATCAAATAAAAATTTTTTTTAAATCAAATGAAAATTTATTTAAATTAAATAAATATTTATTTGGCTCTAAGATAAATATATCTTTTTTCTGAATGTATTTGAATCAAGAAATTTAAGTTAATTCAAAAAATAGTTCCATACAAAGAAAAACTGTTTAAAATTAATGAAATTTTTGAATTTATCCTAATTATGAAACTTTCATTTAAGAACTAATTGTTTTTCAGAACATACTAAAATTTATTATATTTTACAAAAAAAAAAAAAAAAAAAAAAAACAAGACTATACTAATTTATAGAAATTTTTGCATTAAAAAATCTATATTTATACGGCACTCTCGGTTACTATTTTCTGTTATATAGCAAGGAATGTCATTTAAAATCGTACTAAACTTTCTAGTAATTTCAACAGTCTATAATTTAATGTCGTTCATGTATTTTTATATGTATAACTATTTAAATAAAAGCAAAAAAATAAAACAGAAGGAGAAATAAATATTTTATTATTTAATTGTTGATTAAAATTAAAATTTATTAAAGACTAATTAGAAGAAAAAAAAATGAATCAATTTGCTAACCTTGAGCTTGTCGTAGGTCGTGTCAAGCTCCAAACGATGTACAAAGGGGTTGAGAATGTCGACACCAAAGGATGTCTTTTCCTCATCCTTTTGATCATACATTTTTCACGTTAATTTCCTCTATTTTCCAACGATGATTATTATCTGCAAAGAAAAAAATAGGTCACTATTTCTATTAGTTCGCGCTGTAAAGAATTATTGCAAAATATATTTCAAGTCTTCGACAAAAAAAAATTATAATAATAATAATAATAATAGAAATATATAAAAAAAATTTTCTTTCGAAATTTCATGAAAAAAAGGAAGTTTTTATTTGCTAAATTACAATTTCGTTTTTTTTTTTTTTAATAAATAAAATATTCCAAGAAAGAGGAATTAGAATTTTTTTTTATTTAAAAGAAATTTTAATACAATTAAATAATTAATTTATAATTATTCTCTCATTATAATTATGTACATAATTATTAGGCGTAATTGTAATGATTATTTATTTTTATTATTTTATTTTTATAAATCTTATTTTATTATTTATAAATTTTATTATATATAATAAATTATTTTCTTTATTTTTGAAATAAAAATTTATTATAGAGAAATATTTGTTATAACATTGACTAATGATATTATTTTTTTTTATTTGTTACAGGTGAGTGTCTATCAAAATATTTCATTTTGCATTTTGATTTCCATATACGTTTTGGGTAAGCAATGAAAAATATTTTTAAAAAATTGTAATAATTATAATAATAGTATAAATAAAAATTATATTTAGCGTGGTGTAAATTTTTTAAACAGTTTTTTTTTTTTTGAAAGTTTAGAAGCCAGTTTGTTTCCTTGTTAACGAGGTAAACTTATAGAAGATTAGGTGTATACATTATCTTCACCTGCTACATTTACTAAAATGTTTTATGACGCAATAAAGTTTATTCAGTTGGTTTTTTTCTTCTTTTTCTATAAAGTTCTAACTTAAAATTAATTATATATATATATATATTAACTTTTCTGTAACCTTTGATATTAACATTCAGTTTAAAATATTTGAAATCCCAGTTTTTTTTTTATTATTCAATAATTAACGAAATATTTTATAAGAAATTATTATTTTCTATCAATAATTTTGAATTTAAAATTAATTTGTTAATTTTTTAAAATTCCTCGATTTTTATTATTAACATTTATATGAAAATTTTGCACTGAAAAAAATTTATTTGATTCAAATAATCGGTTATTTAACTAGTATCAAATAAATATTTATTTGTATCAAATAAATATTATTAAATAAATATTTAATATCTTAATTTATTTTTCAAATAAATATACTTGTATTAAATAAATATTATTAAATAAATATTTTATATTTTATATTTAGTATCTAATAAATATTTGAATCAAATAAATATTTTTATCAAATTCAAAGTCAAATTAAATTGTATTTGTTTCAAATATAGAAATTATTGGTTCAAATATACAGTTTATTTAATTCAATTATTTGGCTTCAAAAATTATTTGATACAAGTAAATATTTTTTTTTGCTAATAGTCAACTAACCAAATACTTGAATTAAATAAATTTTTTTTTTCCAGTGATAGTTTAAATTTAAAAAAAAAAATTTAAATACAGTTTTAGGATATTACAAAATTCAAATTTTGTAAATTTTCAATATAATTGAATCAAAATGTTTTTTAATAAAAATAAATGACATTTCTAAATTTGTAGAAACTTTAATTTTTCTTTTTTTTTTTTTTTTGTTTAAAATTAAAGACACATTTCGATATTGAAAGAAATCGAGATATCTGACTAAAGTATATAGTGTTAAGTGAAACTTAAGTGTTACGACACAGTTAAAAAATGTTAAACTGTAGAAATTCTATAAACTTCCCGTTCTTTATTTTTTATAAAGAAAAAAAAAAACATTTATAATATAAAAAAGTAGTTTTTTAAAAAAAATTTCTTTTTAATAAAAATTAATCATTTTTCTTAAATAGAAGGAGAAATTAAATAGGGAAAAAAAATTTGATTTGGAACAACGAAATTCACTGGAATAGTGAAAGATTTAATTGAAACATTTATAATATAGTTTTGCTATTTTAGTGAAACCTTTCACTGTTCCAGGTAAATCTTTTTTTTTCCATGTAAATGCAAAAAAAAAAAATTCTCTTTTGCTAATAATTATTTACTATAATGATAATAAGTACATATGAAACTATTAATTTATTCAGTACTTACTAAATTTAAATTAGTAAACATTTTAACTAAATTAGTAAAAATATTACAAACTGGTATTAATTATTTTTTCACATAATCATTACACTGTGTATTATTATTACTATTATTACTAACTATTAATACTATTATTATTATTATTATTATTACTATTATTACTAACTATTAATACTATTATTATTATTATTATTATTATTATTATTATTATTATTATTATTACTATTATTATTACTATTATTATTATTTTTAGTATTCTTACTATTTTTTACTATTTCTACTATTTATTTATTTATTAAGTTGACGGGACAATTCCTTATCATTATTTTTATTATTATTATTATTTTATTAATAATTATGATTATTTAATTACAACAATTAGTACTAAATGTACAAGTTATAAATCGAATAATAGAAACCACAGTATTAGCAGACTGTATGAATAAAAAAAATACTGTAATTTAAAAATTAGTAGTAAAATACTACTTTTCATATAATAAGCCTTGTACTAAATTTGACTAATTTCAAATATTTTGAAATAAATCGGATGTGACGAGAAATAATAATTGGCTTCTACCAACATGGCTAATAGTATCTTATTAATAAACTTATATAGTTGTTTAGTCGCACAATGCAATTTAATTGATTGGCACACCTAATTACTAAGAATACTAAAAAAAAAAAAAATTTTTTTCACTGAAAATAATACTTTTTATGGGAAACAATTTTATTTTTAATATTAAAAAAAAAAAAAACATGTCGATTTATTTTGAAAAATTAACAAAACACAGGTTATGAATAAATTATTATTATAAAAGAGAAACTCTTTTGGAACTATTTTCAATTCGAAAGATTCAAAGTCAAGTGCAGAGCACACCCGCAGTGTGTGAGACTCACCTCTTTGCCAGGTAGCTGCAGAGAGTGAAAAAAAAAACTCTTTGACACACAATTGTTATTATTATTATTTTTTTTTTTTTTAATTGTCACTGTTTTATTATTTTTTATTTTGACAATTTCCTAACCCCCCCCCCCTCGTCCCAAAAAGTAAATTTTATTATTTTGAAAAATAGGGGAAAAATTTATTTGACCACACACACACACACACAGATATTGAATAACGAAAAAAGGAAAGGAAAAAAAAATAGAACGATAAAACGAAATCCGGTGACAAGAGATGCGCGCACCGGAGCACAGACACTGAATCAATCGAAGTCGCGCATCATTGCACGTCAGATGACAGCTGTCACGGACGCATGAGGGAATGTACGAAAATACCGGAAGGAACCGGAAGAGGAAATTTTTTTATTTTCTTTTTTGGCACTTTTGATTTTTTTTGGAAATTTTTTTTTGTAACACACAATGAAGAAAAAGAGGAGCGCGAACTGATTTTCTTTTTTTAATATTTTTTTTTTTTTTTTTTTTTTAAATTGACAGTAAAATAATTGTTGAGCTGTTCTCAGTAAGACAGAAATCGACGTGAAGTCGAGGAGGATATACAGTGTGCAATTACTCGTGGCCCTCGTCTTCCCTCTCCTTTCTCTTGTAAAACCCAAGAACCCAAAAGCCCATATCTTTCCTTCGCGTATAAGATAGCTATAGACTTACCCCCCACTTACTCTCTCTTTCTCTCTCTCGCTCTCCTGGTAAAATGGTGGAAAGCTGCGTGGTACAGTGACGCCGTAGATTTTAAGGGGGTGGGGTAGTTCCGTTTTACCGATCGTTGATTCAAAGATAATATAAACATAGTTTCACCTTGATATAGAAAATTGGCAAAAAAAAAATTTTTATTTTACAAAATGAGAAGGGATTTTTAATTTTTGAAAAATATTTTCATGAATTTTTTTTGATTTTTATTGAAATTAGAAAAAGGATTTTTATCCCGGGATCGTGATTATTATTATTATTATATTACATAATGGCGTGAATGTGGAAAGTGACCCCGGAATGGGTTACAGGATATTGCTGTCATTTTTGTAATTTATGGTCTTTATCCTGTAACCAGTCCTTTTAATAATAATTTCGTTTTTTCAATGTAGATCGAATTTTTTTCTAAAGAAATTTTCTGTTTATTTAATTTTTTATTGATTTAATTTTCTATTAATTTCATCTTCTATTATAATTTTCTATTAATTTAATTTTTTATTTAATTATTTTTGTAATTTTGAAAAAATGGTTTTTTTTTTTGGAAAATTTCCTTTTTGGATTTATTAGGTGACGCTTGCAGCGCCATTTATTGGGAAATTTTCTATTGATTTAATTTTTGGTTGTTTTATTTTTTTAATTTTGAAAAATAGTTTTTTTTTTAGAAGGAAAATTTTTATTTTCTTTTTGGATTTTTATTGGGTAACGCTTCGCAGCGCCATTTCATAGAAACTGTTAACTGAGTTTTAGTACCTGAGCGGATAAGATATTTTATATACCGACTGAACAAACTCACTGGGAAAGGGAATTTTTTTTTTTTTTTTTTTGAGCTGATTTCTTATTTATCGACTGTTGATTCTCGAGATTTGTAATTTTGTTTATTTTTTTCAATTTAAAATTTTTTAAACCGCATTGAAAAAATAGAATTAGAAATTTTTTTTTCATTTTTCAAATAAAAGTTGTAAAATAATTTTAAAAAATTTAGTCTGACTGAAACTGACCTTTACTACTGTGAAATTACAAGAACTTTAATTGTCTGACCACAATTGATTTTTACTACTTTTACTATACTAATATCAAATTGACAGGAATTTTCAAAATTTTACTGAATGTGGCTTATTTTTTACTGATAGATAGAAAAATTACGAGAAAAAAATAAGTCTGACTATAAGTTACTTATACTACTGAAACGAATATTTATAAAATAATCCTAGAAAATTATGTCTGACTTTACTTTGTTTTTACTACTAATAGTCAAAATTTACAAAATTTGAGTTTTTTTTTTTTACCTAAAATCGATTTTTAAATTTTAATTATACACTGATAAAAAAAATTTATTTGATTCAAGTATAATTATGGTTACTCGACTATTAAAAAATAAATATTTACATGAACCAAATAATTATTTATTTGTACCAAATAATTATTTTTTTGTACCAAATAATTATTCTTTTGTACCAAATAATTATTTACTTGTATCGAATAATTATTTATCTGTACCAAAACAATTATTTATTTGCATCAAATAATTATTTGAGCCCATTTAATGGTACTTGTTTTAAATACAGAAATTATTGGTTTAAATATTGGTACAAATAAATAATTATATTTGTTATAAAAAAATAATTATTTGGTACAAATAAATAATTATATTTGGTACAAATAAATAATTATATTTGTTACAAATAAATAATTATTTGGTACAAAGAATAATTATTTGGTACAAAAAAATAATTATTTGGTACAAATAAATAATTATATTTGATACAAGTAAATAATTATTTGGTACAAATGAATAATTATTTGGTACAAAAAAATAATTATTTGGTACAAAAGAATAATTATTTGGTACAAAAAAATAATTATTTGGTACAAATAAATAATTATATTTGTTACAAATAAATATTTCTTTAATACAAATAAATATTTGTTTGATAATAGTAAAGTAACCGATTATTTAAGTCAAATAAATTTTTTTTTTAGTATACTGTCTGACGTAAATTTACTTTTGCTTCTAATACAAAAAAAGTTATGTCTGACTATAAGTGTCCTTTACTACTGAATCTAAATAAATATACGAAAACAGGCAAATAAAATCAATTTCTTTTATATAAAAAAATTTAGAAAACTATTTTAAAGAAATAAAAATTGTTTAAACAATCGCACAATTTTTTTTTAATAATAATTATGATTAAATTGTGCGATTATTTATATAACTATAAAAATAAGAAAAAAAAGAAAAAAACGTAAATATGAAATCTACATTTTATATATTCTAAAAATACTTAAACTTGTAAAAATTTAATAAGATGTAACTTTTTACGTCTTGTACAGTAGGTTAAGGAAAAAGGAAAAAATTTAAATCAAAATGTAGGTCAAATTTCTTCGACAGAATGTACTTTTCAATAATTTAATATAGGTTTATATAATCTTTTTTTTATTTATTTTTTTTTTTTTGCAAATTCTCGAGAATCATTTTTGATTTCTAAAAAAAAGAAAAATTTAATATTTCTTCCCTGGGAAAAATTGTGATTTCTATATTAGTAATAAAATTTCAAAATGAAAGAAAATTTTCCAAAGTTTTTATTTATTTTTCATAAAGAAAATGGTAATATTTTCTTTTCTGGCAAAAAATGAGATTTCTGTATGATATTAATAAATTCTCAATCACAGAAAATTAAAAAAAAAAAAAATTTTAATATTGACAAAAATTGAGATTTCTATATTAAGATTCTGAATTTTCCAAAATAAAATATTTTCCTCGAACAAAATTTCGAAAAAAAAAATTCTAAGGCGGACTTTATTTTTTTTTGGGTTTCATCGAAAAAAAATTTTTTTTTTCCAAAATTTCCCTTCTTTTATGTAATATACGTCAACCATTAATATTCGGAGATTATTTTTCACGGTTTGCGTTTTTCTCTATTGAATAATTCATATTATCAAATGATTTATGTATTCTCCATTCCCCTCACTTTTTTTTATCTCTCGTATATATATATATATATATGTGAAAAAAAAGATTTTCTCTGTGATTATACAGAAAAGTGCCAAAAAAAAATTTTATATATACTAGCTTAAAAGATTAGTTCTTGACCCCTTTTTTCACACTCACATAATTCTAAAAAGGCCTCTAATTATAATTGTGCAAAAAAAAAAGAAGAAAATTAATTCGTCATTTGCAATCCTTGACCTTGGCCCATGTATATCGAAAAAATTATATAGATAAAATGAAAATCACACCCTTTCTATTAGCACAGAGTCGACATCAATCAAAAAATTTATGAAACCAACCGTTTGACATGTTTCCCTCCACGGAAAAAAAGAGAGAGGGAGAGGGAAAAAAAAGAAAAGAGGGGAAAAAAAAAAAAGAAAAAAAAAAAAAAATTGGGGAAAAATCCTAAGTAAAAGAGGATCGAATCCGAGGTCGAGTTGTTGCGCGCGTTGCATCAAATACCTCTATAGCTGCGCGACCCGCTGCGCTCCTGTTTCAGGTCTCTCTCTCTTCCCATTCCTGATGCTCTCCCTTCTTTATCATCTCTCCCTCTAGGACACCATCGAAACTAGTCCAAATCCGGATCGCGACGAGTCATCTTCTTCATTATCACATCTTTATAAACTGAAAATAATCTGAATTTGAAAATTGCTGTTTTTGAAAAAGTAGGAAATAAAATAAAAAACCGAAAAATAGGAAATCGAAACAGAAAGATAAAATTTTGGCAAAATAGAAAATACGAAAGGGGAAAATTGAAAAAGAAACGTACAAAATACGAAACAGGAAAATCGTAAAGTACAAAACAGAAAATTAGTAAACAGCAAAACAGAAAATTAGTAAACAGCAAAATAAAAAAAAAAGCAGTGCCCAAAAAAAGCAGTATAAAATATAGAAATAAAGCAGTAAATACCGAAAAAAAACATGGCAGATGAAGAGCAGACGGAAATTCCCAATATTGTTGAATTAAATGTTGGCGGTGTATTTTATACAACAACTTTGTCAACATTAACAAGCGAAGTTGATTCAAATCTATCGGCAATATTCTCGGAGAAATTGAAATTGAAAAAAGACGCAAAGGGTAAATATTTCCTTGATCGTGATGGTGTACTATTTCGTTATGTATTGGATTTCCTGAGAAATCAAGCACTTGTATTGCCAGAGGGTTTTCGAGAACGCGATAGACTTGTACAGGAAGCTGATTTTTATGGCCTCACAAATTTAAAGAAAGCAATTAATGAACATGTTTCAACAACAACAACAACAACAACAGTACTATCATCGAAACGTGGTTACATCACTGTTGGTTATCGTGGTAGTTTTGCATTTGGTAGGGATGGTTTGGCCGATGTGAAATTTCGTAAAATATCAAGGATCCTTATTTGTGGACGTGTTGCACTTTGTCGTGATGTTTTTGGTGATACATTGAATGAAAGTCGTGATCCTGATCATGGAATATCGGATCGTTATACGAGTCGTTTTTTTTTAAAGCACAGCTATATTGAACAGGCATTTGATATGCTTCAGGAGCAGGGTTTTAAATTGGTTGCAAGTTGTGGTTCGGGTACTGCTGGTGGTAGCGCTGAACAATTAAAACCAGGAGTTGATTTGGAGGAAAATCGTTGGAATCATTACAATGAGTTTGCGTTTGTGCGCGATTAAGAGTGATAAATTTTTTTTTTTTTGGTTTTACAAAGAAGACAATGGTGCAGCATTGTTAATGGCAAAAAAAAGTGTGAAATCTGATTGAAATTATTTATTTTTGGAATTAATTTTCAATTTTTGTCAAAGCCTCATTTGAAAATGGATAAAAAAATTTTTGGAATTATTTGGAATTGGAAACGAATACAAATTTTTGTGTACGAAATTTTGAAATGGATACAAAATTTTTAAGTACGAAATTTTGAAATGGATACAAAATTTTTAAGTACGAAATTCAGAAATTTGAAACGAATACAGACTTTTGTGTACGAAATTTTGAAATGGATACAAAATTTTTAAGTACGAAATTCTGAAATTTGAAACGACTAACAATTTTTATGTACAAAAATAGAACAAAAAAATGTACAAAAATTTGTATGTACGAAAATAATTTGGAATTTGAAACGAATACAAATATTTGTGTACGAAATTTTGAAATGGATACAAAATTTTTAAGAACGAAAACATTAAATTTTGAAACGAATACAAATTTTTGAGTACAAAATTCTGAAATTTGAAATGGATAAAAATTTTCAGAAAATAATCTGGAATAAAAATTTTTAAATACGAAAATAAATTGACAAAAAAAAATGGAATTACGAACGAAAATTTGTTTTTTTATTTTTGGGCCAAAAGACTGTGTAGTGGAATTTTTAGGAATTGAAAAACAGCACTGGATGAATTGAATGGAAACAACACGGGTAAAAAAAAAACAAAAATGGAATTGTTCCGAATTATATAGATGATAATATTGATACAATCATTGAATTTTTTTTTGTTGCAACCAAAAATAACAAGTGAAATTGTTGCAATAACAAAAAAAAAAGGAAAAAAGGAATTGTAAACACGGGTAATAATATTGATTAAAAAATCGATTTCTTTTTATCAAATAAAAAAGGACAATTTTTGGATTAAAGGAAAAATTTCCAATTATGGAAAATTTATAAATTCGAAAAAAAAATCAAGAGAAGCATTTCAAAAATTTATAAAAGATTTATTATTAAAAAAATTATTATTAATTTAACAGAAGGTTCAAGATTCAAATAATTAAAAACGATTCTTGTTCAATTAAAAAAAAAAAAAAATTGAAGATCAGAAAAAAAATACTTTCAATGAACAGTGACAATTTTTTTTTTTTCAAATTAATTAATTGATTAATTAATAATCAAAGAGAATTTTTAGATATTCAAGGAAAATAATTAATGAAGGAAAAAGTTTTTTTTAATCGAGAAAAACAAAAGAAGAAGGAAGTAATTAAGGATGAGGATAAGAATAAGTTTTTTTTTTTTTTTTTTTTAATGAAGGGAATAGAAATCAATGAAGAGGAAAATAAAATATATTGAGAAAAGAAAAACAATTTTTCCAAACTCGTGACAAATCAAACAAGAATAACCCACCTAAAAATTTAGGTAAGGGATTTTTGTGACAAGAAAGAAGACGATACTTTGATGACCACATTGAAGATAGATTTAAATGTTAGATTTAGGAACGATAGACATATATAATATATATATATATATATTAATGAAAATTTATTTCACACGCGCTTTAGATATGAATTTCGCTGGTCGTATTTTCATTAAATTGAAAAGTGAATTTCTAATGTATAACTTTATGAGAAAACAGGAATATATAGAAACTTTTAGTCTTTAAAGTTACTTTAATAGAAATTACTTGATAAAACTTTTATTATGTAACATTATCGTTACTTGAATAACTTTACTGTTACATTATATGTGTGTAACTTTAATTTACTTTGACCTCATATTTTAATTTCAAAAATTTTAATTTCAAAAATATTTAATTTTAAAAATATTTAATTTCAAAAATTTTAATTTAAAAAATATTTAATTTAAAAATTTTTAATTTCCAAAATTCTAATTTTAAAAATTTTTAATTTCTACTTCCATTTTTTTCAGATGAACTTTCAATTTTGAATATCAAAAAAAAGTACAGCTTTTCTTTCTTTATACTTCCAAATATTAATTATTAATTTAGAAATTAAATTAAAAATTTTTATATTTATTATTATTATTGTTATATTATATTATTTTTATTATTTTTTACCAATAGTAATAAAATAGCCAATAGTAATAAAAATAAAAAAAAAATAAAATAATTTCCAGTATTTCTGTTAATGAACAAAATGGCTTCCAATTTATTCAGAGGAAATATGAGACAAAATTGTGATTACAATTCAAAATAATATTAAAATATAGTATCTATATTGGAAATATGTTAAAAATTTGCACTGATCACAATATTGTGTTCACTATTAGTTTCAGTAAAAGCACCAAAAAAAAAAAAAATAATAATATAAATTCTCATCAAATGATAAATAGTAAAGAAAAAAAAAAACCTTAACTCTACAATTTATTTTTAAGAATTTTTTTTTTTTGACAATTTATGTCTGAAATAATTTATTGCATCTTTAATCGATTCTAGATTGAAAAATTACTATAATAATATAAATAATAGAGAGTGGTGGAAAAAAAAATGTTGAAAATTCCAAAAAATAAAAATTTGCGAAAAAATGAAGGAAAATGAGGCGAAAAAGGAAAAAAGAAGTTGTGTCCTTATAACGTACCTAAAAACTTGATGAATAATAAAAAAAAAAAAAAAAATATTTAGAAGGTTTCACTATATGACTGTATATATGTAGCCTACTTTATGAAAAAAAAGTTCTTATACTAAATACTAAATTGATTTGATTTTTTTTTTCTTTTTCTCTATTCATTTTTCTTTTCTTTGTCAGTACGTAAAATAGTGTAAAAGCTATAAAAGCTTTCTGAGTGAGTTTTAATGTTAAAACAGTGACGCAAAATCAATTTACAGTTTCATATAATTAAATGTGAGTTTCAAATCCTTTTTTCGAGTTGAAAAACAATTTTTTTTAGGCAGCTATTTAAATCCTTTTTTCGATACTATTTAAATTTCTTCTTTAATGAAAGTAATGCAAAAAAAAAATTAAAAATAAATTTACAATTTCAAAAAATGTTTACTAACACGTTTTTTTTTTTTTTTAAGAAATATTTTTGAAATTGACTGAATTTTTGACAAGTTTTTTATTTATAATTTTTTTTCTTTTTTTTTTATCGTCTAATTGAAAAGTAAAAAAAAGAATTTAGAGTACAATCAAATTTTATCTTGTAAAAATTCGTAGTTATAATAATTGTTGACAGTTAAATTGTAAAAAAAACGAGAAAATTTGCACGCACAATAAATATTGTACTGAGACACAAAAGAATAAAAAATATATAAAATTTTTCGCACGGATCCTGATTTTCAAAAATTTTAATTATTTAATTTTTCAAGAAAAAAAAAAAAAAATGTAAATAAGCTGCTAATGTACTAGATTTTATGAAAAATTATAAAATGCAAAACAATCCATTATTATAACGAATAAAATTTTTTTTTTGTTATATGTAATTTTTCCTTCTTAATTATTTTAATATTTTTTAAATTAATTTTTCAATTTTTTTGATTAATTAATGTTAACATAAATATGAGAATTTAATTTTTAAAAAAAAGTAATTTGTAATTAATTAAAAGTGCAAAATTCACATTTTGATAAAAATAATTTAAAATGTTTTTTTCATTCTGCGGGTCACTTTAATAGAGAACAAAATCGTGTATAAAAAAATAAAAATAAATAAATTACCCGCATTCACCTGGACATTTGGCTAATAAGTTGTCAAAGGTATGAGAAAGGGATGATGAAGGGGGAAAAAAAAGAGAAAATCATTCCCGCGAGGGCATCTGATTTATTAAGAGTTGAGAACTTGACATTTGAAAATTATTAAAAGATACGCCCTCGGCGTTAAATTGATCGCCTATAAAAAAAAATATATATTGTAACACTGACGACGTTCTAATAATATAATATATGATATAATTAAAAAACGGCTCTTGTTAATTGAAATAATAATAATAATAAAAAAGTCTCATAAAATTGGTGAACATAGAGACACAAGAATCATGATTATCGATTCGTTAGGAGTTTATAAGAAGGTCAAAACGCATGAAAATTATATTACATGAAGGACAAATATTTATCTTTAACTGAAGATGATACTTTTAATTTTTTTTTTTAATTTTATTATTAAAAGAAACTGATTTTTTTTTAAATTTTATTATTAAAAGAAACTAAATTTTTTAAAATAATAATTAATAAATTTTTATTTATTTAGTAAATAATATAATTTACTAAATAAATAAATTATTAACTAAATAAAAGAAATAATTTATTAAATGAATTATTTAATAAATAAAATATTTATTGAATACAGTTTCTTTAAATCAAAATTTTTCTTAATAAATTAATTTTTTTTTTTTTAATTAAAACTTTTATTGAACGAGTATATAATAATAATAATGATAAATTAGAAACAATCTAGAATGGAACAGTATTTATAATAACTATATAGACAATTTTATAAACAATTGTATATGGCCCCCAATTTATATATATATATATAAAGTAAAATATAACACATCGTTTTTCTTGCGTCTAATAGACATCTACATTAATTATAAATATAGATCTGTATAATGAAAAAATTTCTCAAAATTGAGTAAAAAAATATTTAATTATAATTACAATGTAACGAATATTTCATAAAAAAAACAAAAAAAAAATCATAATGAGCTGATAATTACAGACACTGCCCCTTCTATATAAAACACTTTCTTGAAGACGCAATATGTGTGTGTGTGTGTGAATATTGTAAAATTTTAGGAATTTTAGTAAAAAAAAAAAATTACGAATTTAAAATTTTTAACAAACTTTTTTTTTGAAATATTTCAAATTTTAGTTGAAAATTATTTTTTTTTGTTTAATTAATAGCTTATTTTAAAATTACAAAAATAAATAAATTAATTAATTACTGTTACGCACTGTAATTAATAATAGTTAAATAAATTAATTATTCATATTTTTTTATATTTATTTATTATTATTTATATTTTTTATATTTATTTATTTATTATTATTATTTATGTATATTTTTAAAATTTATTAAATATTTATTTATTTTTCTATTTTTATTCACAAAAATAGTACATATAAATAATTTAATTATAATTTCCGAATAAAATCGACACTTTAATGACAATCTTTATTGACATCGTGATAATTAATTTATATGTTTGATATACCAGTAAATATTTCTTGAGAGAGAAAATATTTGTGGGAGAAAAAAAAAATTATATTTAAAATTATTATTTGGAAAGGAATTTTTTATCAAAAATTACAGTCCACCCTTTTTTTTGAAAGGTGTAGTTTGTGTAAACAACATTTTTTTTATGAAGTCAGTATATTTATACAAATAATAATAATTTTATATATTTTTTTTTTTTTGTTAAGCAAAGAAAAAAAATAATTTCGTAATAAGAAGACAAATATAAAAAAAAAATGTTCTGATAATATTTTTAGAGTATTATTGAATATTTATCTATATATATATATATATTGAAAGCAATAGAAGCGTGATATAATTTTTTTTATTCGTCAAACGGATCATTTCCAGTTGGTTTATAGTCAAACACTGCGCGAAATTCCATATCGGTGGAAACAATTGTATATTGCAGTCAAAGAAAAAAAAAAATCATAAAAGCTTCTATAGTTTTTTTTTTTTTTATATACAGTTATTTTTACTTTCCTGAAACAATATTTTTTCATTTCATATAAAAATAATTGTGACAGTTTATTACAAAGTTTCTTATTTTTATTTTAAAATTAACTATTTTTATTGTCGATAAAAATTTTTCATAGAAAAAAAAAATCCTTTCGGAATAATTATTGAAAAAATTTTATTTATTTTTTCATTATAAAAAAAAAATTATGAGTATTATAATTTATTTTTTTAATTTTTTTTTTGAAAATTTGAATTTTTTTTCTTTTTACTAATTCCTTAATTAATATTTCATAAACTATTTGAAAAATTCGTATGTTTTAAGAACATAAAATTGTCGATGTACGTAAAATATTGTGAATGTGTGCAAAAATAATAAGAAAATTAAAATAATTTTCTTGTTTAGGGAGAATTTTTTAAATTCTAAAAATTATTTCGAAAAGAAATTTTATCCTTCTTTTTTTGGATTATGTAGCACAGTAGAATAAATGGAACTGAAAGTAAAAAAAAAAAGAATTTGAAAAATAATTTACACTTCTAAAGTTGTTTTCTTAAATTTTTCTTTTGGTAAATCCGACTCTCTTGTGTCCAAGTATGTGAGCTACAAATTAGAAGAAAAAAAATTTAATTATTTGAATGAATACAAAAATAAATAAATAAAAAAATTTATTTAAGAATTTTTGTTTTTACTTTAATAAAAATGAAATTTTGCAAAATTATTTAATATTTTATTATGGAATAAAAATTTATTTTATTTTATAAATATATTAAGTGATCTCATATATAAATTATACCGTGACAACTGGAGCCTCAAAATTAATTTGTCGAAACTCAGGAACAAATGTTAGTAAAAAGGCACAGTAAATTAGCACAAGTATCCATTCTGAAATAACACTAGCAACGTGCCATTCCCAACCACCATCTGTTGGTTGCCATTTTTTGTAATCTTTCCCTGTGATAAGTACAAAATATAAATTTCACATATTTTATGTTTATCTATTATAATTAACTGAAACAATAGACTTTATAGATATCTCTATAATCGACAAGTTTTTAATATATATATATAAAAATATTATTAACTATATAAAAAAAATCATTTTTTCTATATAAAATATATTTTCAATGTTTACAAATATACAAAAAAAAAATTTTTTCTTGGGATCAATTTTTTCCTTAATCAATTTTTTCTGGGATCAAAATAAATAATATAAATATATTTTCAAATCTTTTTAAATTTTTTCTGAAAATTTTGCTCTTTTCTTGAGTAAATGTGTGAATTCATTTTTCCTAATAAAAAATTTATATATTAAATTATTATTAAAATATAATTATAATATTACTATATTATAATTAATATATAATTAAAAAAAAAAAAAAATTCTTCTGAGTAGTGGAATCTACTGCAAAATGTATGTTTAAAAAAAATATAGTAATTTTAGGCTTTATGCGCAAAAAATGAATAAAAATAAGTTTTATTAATCGCACACATCAGAAAAAATGCAAATAATTAATATTAAAAAAAATAAATAAATAAAAATAAAAAAAAAAATTCTATATTTTTCTCTGTAAAGTCCCTCCTGCTTCTGTAAACTCCGTAACGATATATCTTTTTAATATTATATAATAAATATAATAATATATAAAAATTTTATTATATTAATTTTTTCATTGGGCGGCCTATGTAGATTCTCCTTCAAAAAAAGTAATGCCGTAAAATATTTGCAAAAAAATAAAACTATGTACTATCTACTCTAATCTTTTTATCGTAATTAGTCGACGTCGGACTTTTTTACGATATATATAGAAAAAAAAACATTTTATGTATATATTTCACGATGTTATATATTAAATGTTTATTAAAAAAAAAAAAAAAAAAAAAAAAAAAAAAACTGACCAAGTTCCATATAAATTTGAAATTTTATTATTCCTTCTGAACCTCAAATTTTTTTTTTAATTTAATTACATTTTTCTTTCACATATTATTAGTTGTGATATTAATTTTTCTTCTAAATTACGATTTTTTTCTAAATTTTTAAATATTTGAGAATTTTGGTTCAAACTTTATGGTTTTTAAAAAGTAATTTTTTTTTTAAATTACCTTTAAAGTCCAAAGTGGAAAAATAACCGGGAACAATAGTGGCGACTGTTAAAATGATAGTGAGAGTTGATAGACATCCACGAACATAAACAATTAACCAACTGTTTACACTTGAAATCATTTTATAACTGAGATAAGTCTGTGAATTTAAATATAATTTTTTATTTATTTAAAAATTAATTTTTATATTAATTTTTTATTTAATTTACGTTAGTAAATTTAATAACTGAATTAATAAAATTATTGAAAATTAGTTTAGTAATTAAATTAATTAATTATTTAATTGGTACAAATAAAAAAAATTAAATTATTAAAAATTAGTTTGGTAATTTAAATAATTAAAAATTAGTTTAATAATTAAATAAATAATTATTAATTTCATAAAAAGGTTTAGAAAATATATAATTAACAAAAGAATTAATTAATAATATAGAATAATTTATATACAAAAAAAATGTTATCGAATTTTTTTTATTTGTTTAAATATTAATAATTAACTAATTATTACATTAATTAATTTTTATTTAATTTTTATTTGCACATTTAATAATTACCTAAATTAGTAAAATTATTGAAAATTAGTTTAGTAACTAAATTAATTAATTAATTCTTTGGTTCAAATAAAAAAAATTAAATTATTAAAAATTAGTTTAATAATTAAATAAATAATTATTAATTTTAAAAAAAGGTTTAGAAAATAAATAATTAACAAACGAATTAATTAATAATATAGAATAATTTATATACAAAAAAAATGTTATCGAATTTTTTTTATTTGTTTAAATATTAATAATTAACTAATTATTACATTAATTAATATTTATTTAATTTTTATTTGCACATTTAATAATTACCTAAATTAGTAAAATTATTGAAAATTAGTTTAGTAACTAAATTAATTAATTAATTCTTTGGTTCAAATAAAAAAAATTAAATTATTAAAAATTAGTTTAATAATTAAATAAATAATTATTAATTTTAAAAAAAGGTTTAGAAAATAAATAATTAACAAACGAATTAATTAATAATATAGAATAATTTATATACAAAAAAAATGTTATCGAATTTTTTTTATTTGTTTAAATATTAATAATTAACTAATTATTACATTAATTAATTTTTATTTAATTTTTATTTGCACATTTAATAATTACCTAAATTAGTAAAATTATTGAAAATTAGTTTAGTAACTAAATTAATTAATTAATTCTTTGGTTCAAATAAAAAAAATTAAATTATTAAAAATTAGTTTAATAATTAAATAAATAATTATTAATTTTAAAAAAGGTTTAGAAAATAAATAATTAACAAACGAATTAATTAATAATATAGAATAATTTATATACAAAAAAAATGTTATCGAATTTTTTTTATTTGTTTAAATATTAATAATTAATTTTATTTACTCTCCCTGCATAGCAGGGTTCGAGGATCCAATAAATATTAATAATTAACTAATTATTACATTAATTAATTTATATTTAATTTTTATTAGTACATTTAAAAATTAAATTAGTAAAATTATGGAAAATTAGTTTAGTAATTAAATTAATTAATTAATTCTTTGGTACAAATAAAAAAAAAATTAAAAATTAGAGTATTAATTAAATTATTAATTTCAATAAATAGATTTAGAAAATAAATAATAATTAATTTGTTTGAATGAATAATTTATAAAAAAAAAAAAAATGTAATCGATTTTTAAAAAAATTTTATTTGAAGCGAATTTATAGTATTAGGGGATTATTTTTTTTTCTTTTTTTTTTTTTTTATATATACCTGTAAACAAAAATATGCAGTTCCAGCTGTGAAACAGGTAATAGCACCGACCATATGGGCAGCAACAACTCGGGCTTCTTGAAAATTTGCCAAAATATCGAGTCCAAAACATGAAAAAATTCCACACATTGCCGTTAATCCCGTTAATTTTTGATGAATTAAATTATGTCCCCTTTCCTTGCGCCATTGTTCAACTTGTCGATGTCTAATATAGACACAACATCCAACTGTATAAAAAAATTTGATTTATTATTTTTTATTAAAAATTTTTGAAATTTAATTTACAAATTAGTAAATTGAATCATTTTTTAACTATAATTTAATTTAATTAAATTTATATAATTAATTAACTAATTGATATAATTCATTGAAGTAATTAATATGATTAATTAATTAATTAATATATAATTATTTTAATAAATAAATTTATTAATTTTATTAAATAAGATTAATTATTTAATTAATATAATATTATTCTTTTTAAATTAGTTTTCTTCTTCATTTTTTATATTCGTGACATATTTTATATTTTTTTTTTGTAGTGACGTTTTTTTTCAAAAGGATATTTTCAAGATATTTATATATATATATATATATATTATATCTAAAAATTTAGCGCTTACGTAAAACAGCAGCAATATTAAGAAATTGTGCAAAAATGCAGGATTCAGGTGATAAGGTTCCTGTCTCCGATATGTAAGGGAAGCCAGGTACCACGTGATCCCATTGAACTGATATAGTGTACCTGAAATATGACGCTTTATTAAACGTACAATAGTTATGAGTGATAAATTTATATATAAAAGGAATTTTTTCGTTATAAATATAATATTCAAGAAAAAAAAATCATAAAATATTTGGTTTTAAAATTCTATTCAAAGAATAGATAATAATTTAATAATAATAATAATAATAATAATAATAATAATAATAATAATAATAATAATAATAATAATAATAATGAAAATTATAATAATTTAATAATTTAAAAATAGTAATAATAATAATTATTATTATTATTATTTAATAGTAATAATTTAATAATAATAATAAAAATACTAAAAATAAATTATTTTAAAATGATTTTATTTTTTATTTATTTTTTTTTGGCTAAATTTGTCAAATATAAACGCTTTAATAACCTACGTGATTATAAAAGTGACAGGGATCAAAATAAAGAGGCTGAGTGGTAGCACATGCAAATTTTCCCACGTCATTTTTAGACATCCGGAAATCTGAAATTCAGTAGCCTTAAAAAATTTATATTGTTTATTTTGAATCTAGAGTGTTAAAATAATTAAGTTGAAAATCAATAACGAGATATAAAATTTGCACTTTAAATGTTACATAAAAACTGGGTTACAGTTAGTAAAATAAAAATTTTATTTTATTATTAATAAATAATACATACCTTTTTTAAAAAAAAAAAATTTTTCAATAAGCAATTTGATTATTTTTCGAAAAAAAAAAAATTGATATTTCTTGTTCTATATTTGTTTATACAAGAAAAAAATATTTACCTTGTTAATTGTTATTGCGCACTATAATAGTTATTTTTTTTTTTTTAAATAATTTTTCTTATTAAATATATAGTTAAAAAATAATAAACACTGAATCTTGAAGAAAGCTTTTGAACAACATACACTTTGCCATAGGCAGTTTCAAATGACTGTTTAAGAGAATACATTACATACATATATACACAATTAAACGACTGTGAAACAATCTGTCGGTTATTGATAACCTGCACAATTACACTTTTAATATCACGAACGTGCATTTCACTCTTTTAAGACGTTTTTTCTTTTCTTTAAAAGAATTTCTCATCAATTCCCTGGAAATTTTGTTTATTTAATCAAATGTATGATAATTTTAATTATAATAATAATTTTATTATTTAAAAACAGAAAACTGGGAAATTTTTTATAATTCTAAGTAAAAAATATTTTCTCACTTATATTTTATATATTTAATTAATTATATAATTTAATTATTTATAATTTAATTAATTGTAAAATTTAATTTTTTCATTAATTATAATTTAATTGATTATAAAATTTAATTATTCATTTATATAATTATAATTTAAGTAATTAAATAATTTAATTTTTTGTCTAATTATAATTTAATTGATTATAAAATTTAATTATTCATTTATAATTATAATTTAATTAATTAAATAATTTAATTTTTTGTCTAATTATAATTTAATTGATTGTAAAATTTAATTATTCATTTATAATTATAATTTAATTAATTAAATAATTTAATTTTTTATCTAATTATAATTTAATTGATTATAAAATTTAATTATTTAATTATAATTATAATTTAATTATTTAATGTATTTTCTAAATTTGTTCGTTATTTTTTTATTATTATTTTATTATTAAATTATTATTATTTTTTTTTTTGAATTAACATTTTTTATTTTATCAAATTATTTAAATTTTCTTCTAAAATGAATAGTTAAAAAAAAATTAAAATTAATAATTATTATAATATTATAAGCAAATAATAGGACAAAAGAGTTCCTCTTGTCTCAATTGGATACGTCATCTTAAGGAATTGTCAGAGTATCGATGATCGATTAAATGTTTAATATTATGTCAGGTTCGATGATGAGCTATTCACTTCCAATTAGAAACAATATAAACTAGAGACAGAATTATTAGAGAAATAATTTTTAATAATAGTTCAATTAATTTTCTATATATAAAATTTATTTTTATTACTATATATTTAATAAATCGAATTATATTATTAATTTTTACAATTATTATTAATTATATTTTTTTATTTATTATTTTCTATCATAATTAATAATATATTAATTATAATAATACCAATTTATTTTATTTTGTTAATTGATCAGTAATTATATTTAACAGTTACATAATTATTTACTATTATTATAATTATTATTTTATCTTTAAATTTGTAATATTTGAATTTTTTTTCACTTTGTAAATTTCTTTTTTTAATATAAAGAATTATTATGTATTAATAATTTTTATAATTATTTATATATATATATATATATATTATTACTATTGGTGAATTTTTATTTACTTATTAAATTTTATTCGTATTATTTTGATAATAAACAGAATTTACAAAGAGAAAGAAAAAAAAATTACAATAATTCAAATTTAAAATATAATCGATATATCGAATCGGGCACTTCGATATCCTGCGATATCTCGTGACAAACTTGGCTTCGCCGACGCAAGAGCGCGCGTCAGTTTGTTTCAAGATGGCGGGTGAGTGAGTGCCTGTGGATGGGACGAGGTTGCCCAAAAACACGAGGGATTTTTCCGCTAACCCGTGGTGTTTGTGGGTTTCAGATATTTCCTACCTCCAGAATGAAGACCTTGAAGACTCGGAGGAAGGTAAGCTTTCAATTAATTCACTTTAATCATTGTCAATTTTGGGATGCAGGAAGTCGGTCCGCGCGGTGTACAGATCCCAAGTTTTGCGAAGCATGCCAATCGGTGTTATTTCCAACGTAATGTCTCGTCAACTCACTGTATTTTGGGGTAAATTTCGTATACTCCCAATTTTCGAGGTTAGGTGGGACCGCGTGTTTGTTGGCAAAAAAAAGAAAAAAAAAAGAAAGAAAACTCGGGTCGATAATCTCGCATCGTTGCTGGTAAATGTCAATGCCAATCGACTTTGTTTAACTAACCTCGTGTCTAAATTGTTTTTTTTATCATTTTTCCCCATTGTGTCAAGTTAATGACAATTGTGAAAATATCAAGTTTTTGCCCTCGAATTTTTTTTTTTTTTTAGATTAAAATTTTTTGCTCAAAGCATGCTTTACTGGAAATTCAATTATATTTGCGGACATTAAAAGCGCCACCTATCGGGGGTTTCCTTCTTGTTTACCTCGAGAATATATTCAGAGAGTGGGATTAAACGAAAAAAAAAAAGAAAAAATTTGCAGGGGAAGTCAACACGCATTGCGTAGATCTGTCAGACAAAATATGATTTACTCTTGAGAGTCCATATTACTTTGGATAAGATGAAATTTTATTGTCGGCTGTGCTAAAAAAACTTTATCTAGTCTGTATATACAAAGTTTCGTTTTTAATAAGTTGTGTGTGTGTTTTCAATTATGCCTGAGTTTGACTATTATCATTTCTGTAAGTTTGTTTATCTATTTATTATTATTTCATTATAGAAATTATTTGATTTCACTTTTATTAATTTACATTCAATGTCAAAATTTAATGAACAGTCACGTTAATCAAGTAGAGAATAATAAATTTTTCTTTGTCTATATATATATATAGTGCAACAAAAGAAAAGTTTTATTCGTTTTGTTAACGTTACTTATTTTCCAATGCTGCTAATTAACATTATTTTTTGGTCTTATTAGTAATTGTAGTAAAAGAAAATGTTTGTTTAAATTAATCTTGGACTTTTCTCGAAATTTGCAAACATTTGAAATGTATGAAAAATTGTTTTTCATATGACAAAATTTGAATTTTAAACAAAGAAATTTTATTATTACTAATTAAAATAAAATGAAAGGGAATAATATTAAGACCCTTGACATAATGTTGAGAAACTTGGTGAAATATAATATTATTGACTTTCATCAAGACAAGAATGTCAACAATGTCTGTTTTGAGGTTAAGTCAACTAAAACGTTTTACAAAGTTTGAAATTGAAAACGAAGAAATTTCCTGTAATTTCAAAATTGACAAAAAAGTATATTTTAAGATTCAATTTTTATTATTGTGTTTATATTTTATAATATTTTATATATTTGAATATTTTTTATATTTAAATATTTTATATATTTTTTGTATTTGAATATTTTATATATTTAAATATTTTGTATATTTAAATATTTATTCTTATTTTATTTTGCAAATTTTATTCGAAAATTATTAATATTCTTTTCTAAATAATAAAAATTTATTTAATTTGAAATTAATTTTATTTTCAAATTAAGTAAATATTGAATTATTTGTGTTTAATTATGCAAATATAAATATTTTACTAATTTTTTATGATTTATAATTATTTTTTTTTTTTTAAGAATAATTAAAATTATTTAATATTTTTTGCAAAAATTTATTTTATTTTAAATAATTAAAAGTTATTAATTTTTACATAAATTATTATTCTTTGCGACTAGATATTTTAGGCGCAAAAAAATTGAGATTATTAATTAATAGTAAATAATAATTAAAATGATTAATCATTTTTTGAAAGTAATTTAATTTTGAATAACAAATTGTTTGAAGGAAAAATTTAACTTCTACATTGTAGAAATTTATTTATATTTATTTTTTTTAAGTTTTTATATTTAAAAAATTTCTTGTTATCAACTAAATATTTTAGTCAAATTATTATTTGTCAATAATGTTTAAGAATTTTCATTTTTTTAAAAATAATTTTATTCGTAAAATTATTTAAAATATTTTTGATTTCTAAATAATTTTCAACAACAATAAATTATGTTTATATTAATATTTATATTATTTCGTCTCGATGGAATTTTGATAATTCTTTAAAAAAAAAAAAAAAAAGTTAACTTTTTTATAAATAATTTTTACTTTGCATTTTTTTCCCCTGGAAATTTATCGTTAAATTTCTAATTAACATATATCTAGTACTAGTTTAAATCTTAAAATTCATCGTGTCATTGAACTTGTAATCGAATATTTTTCAACATTGATTTAACTTTGATCAAGATTGTCATTGCAGCTGAATCATCGTTTTATTAACAAGTTCATATATATATATATATATATTTACCCAAAAGGGCGAGAGCCAAATTCCACATTAAATTCGTAGAATCAATTTTCGTAGAATTTCCTTTCTCTTTATATAGTTTTAATTAGTTATTTGAAATTTTTGAAAAAGAAATTATTCTTCTTTGACAAATTATTCGCTATTTAGTTATCCTGTGAGTAAAAAAAAATTATATATATATATATACATATAATAATTGTGTTATTTTAAGTATATATATTTCAGAAATGGGAATGACGCAGAAATTCCGAGTCCATTTTGTGGCGACATCTGTCAAGGCCAGAGGGAATTAAACGGTCGGGGTCTTTCGCCTATCGGGGTTACTGATCTTGCTCGTCGTTGCCTATTCTCCACTTGCTGGTGCCATCTGTCGTGGCTTTCCCTTCTGGTTCTTTATATATATATATATATATATATATATATATATATATATATATAGTTGAAAACATATATATATACGTAGAAGTAGCAGCAGCTCAGCTCTCTTTTTGGGCTCGCTCGGGGTGCATAAACCCAACCAAGACACTGTGCCTTCGATTCGCATCAACGCTTCCAAGGAAATCACCCCTTCAACAATTTACACGATACTTTATATACTCGGTTGCCTTTGCTTTAACACAGTTCTTCTCTATCTCTCTCTCTCTCTCTTGAGACAATTTACCTCTTTCTCTAACTCGACTAGAAATAATATGTTGTTCACTTTTTCAAATTCTTGATTGAAATGCGTTTATATAGTTTTTTTTTTTGAAAAAATAATTTTTCACAATTACATTATTGGAAGGATGTAGAAAATAAAAATCGGAAATGTGCTTTTAGTAAAAAATTTTACTCCAATTTTTCGAAATTTTGATTTCTTCTTCAGGCGAGTCAAAATTCAGGGTGTCTACTAGTCCTTGGAAGTACTGGAAGTCCTGGAATTTGAAA